CCCCCCCTAATAAAAAAGACCCCCCCAAAAAACAAGAAGGCAAAATTTTATATAATATATGTGAGGCGAGTTGACAAAATGATTTTCTTCTCACAATCCACAAATTGAGACATTGGCCACAAATCGACACTAGGGTCAAATTTATAGATTCTCTGTTGATACCGTATTTTTAAGTATAACATGCCTTATATTATTTTATACTTATACTGTGAAAACTTCACCAATAAGTGTGATGTAGCGATTTCCATAGGGCTCGAATCCGAGCAGTAACTCATTTAGTCAGCACGCTTCACATATAAAAGTCAAGTTAATGAAATGATTATACCTATCAATGTCCATTTTCGTATAGTAACCTCCCTTCCGACTAAAAGCGCACCAAGGCTCATATATATTCTCACCCCCTCTCCAAAAAGAAACTAAAAGGCACACACACACTTCACGATTCATCTTCAGAGTGGGAAGGGTTATCTGCCCTTCGCTGCTAAGGTGGACAATGGCTTCCAGATTTCCAGAGTGGCTCAAGGTCAGTTCAGAAAGCACTTTCCCATGTACCCCTTTTACCGCCAAACCCCCTAGGCTACGCAATTTCGACGGCTCAAAACTCGCTGACTCACCCCTAGGTCGCTTCCTGACAAACGTGAAGCACAAGGACCGCCAAACACTGGCAGAACTGCATGTGCTACCGCCACAGTCTTAGGGCAGGATCTTATCCACAAGCTGGGTCTGTGGGTCTGCTGATCGACGGCCAAGCAAAGGGGGTACGCAGAGTCACAACAGATTGCGTCACCTGTCATAGGAACTGGGCACAGATCCGGATCAACGTAAGAGTAACAGATCACGTCCCCTACCTCTCACAAGGAGAGACAATTTCCAATGGTAAGCCGCCTGTCGACAAGCTTCCGACAAGCTTTAACAGCAGATCGTAAAGGGGCTGGAGACGTTCACCTTCGACCCCAACGCTCCAACCTTCGTCCCCACACATTCCTCTGACGTGGGTCTGGGAGCAGTCCTGTCACAGATTCAACTCGGCAGGGAAGTGCCTATCACGCACGCCTCTCATACGCTCCAACCAAGGGAGAGGGCGTATGCAGTACCGGTATACGAGAAAGACGCTCTCGCATGCGTCTGGGCTTGTGAGACCCGGGAGAAATGCCTGCTAGATCGACCTTTTATTGTCAGGATCGACCACTCCGCATTGACAACGCTTCTCCAGGCTACAAGCGACACCCGTAAGTAAGCCAGATTCTCTTGTCGGCTCGACAGGCTCTCTGCTTTCGACTACAAAGTAAAGTATCGTAAGGGAAGTCGAAATGTCATCGCCGACTCACTTAGCCTGCTGTCCCAACGGTCAACACAGAACGTCTCTGCTGATTTCACTCAGCAGCGCCTCGATCGCGCGCTCAACGCTTATCAACAGTTACTGTCTGATGTGCGTTCACAAACCCAATCAGAAGACACACTTTCTCAGGTGTACAGCTACATAAGCACCAGCTGGCCTGACAAGAAAGGTTTACCACCACATTGCCCCGTGAGACAACCTTTTTGTCCTACAGCGTCTCCACTAGCAGCACCAGATCCATGGTCTGCTGAGAACACACGAGCGTCATCCGACCAATGCTGTCGAGGCCCGTATATCGTGTTGGCGACAACGTCCTTGCCCGCTGCCCCCAAGTGCTGAAAGGTCAATCGCCTTGGAGTCAGTCTTTGACGGTCATACAAGTACTTGGACATTGGCGCCCTACGTTTGGCTGATGGTCAACAGTGGAACGCCAGAAAGCTACAGTGATTCAACGCACCAGAACTGCAATGGACCCTGCCGGAAAGTCACCTTCCCCAAGATCGCAGACGGTCAGCGCGACACGACCGTAGAGTCCCTCCACTCCGATACCAACCTTGAGACAATTAACTGTTTGTTCTGTTGTCTTAAACGTATATTGTTGTTATTTTAGGAAAGGAGAGGATGTTGTGTTGGCTGTCTGTTATTTTTTGTTTGTCCGTGATCCTGGCTTCCTGGTACCGCTCCCTCAGGTACCATATAGACTGCATGACCTCTACTTCAGGCAATAAACTAAGATAGGAGAGCTCATAGGGTGGAGTCCAAAGCTTTGAGTGTGAGTTAGTTGTAGCGTAGACGCGGGGTAGAAAGGGCGTAGAAACGTTTGTTTGTGTGTGCCCTATTATAGCGAATAAACTACACTTCTTGAACTCTGTGTTTGTTTCAATTTCAGTATACCTTAAAGAACCCACACAAGGACACCACCTAGGCTGTAGTTGATATCGTTGTTTCTACTGGCAAGGTAGACGGCTCTGCGCCAAGCGCTCCTTTCGGTGTCAGTTCTTTCGAGTTCTTTGGGGGTAACCTGTGCAAACAGGAGATTTGCTTTTCATCGAGTCATTGAAACGTCTTTTTTTGCTGTTGTTGTTTTTTGTGTGTTTTTTTTGGTCTCCCGAGATTTCTTGTGCCACTTGCCATTCGCCGTACAGCAGTTGTTTGGGCATTCGGTGGTCTTCATGCTGATGACATGGCCGACTCACCTCAGTTGGGCTTTGACAAGTATGCATCTTTGTGAGCTTGATCGTTTGAGGACCTCAATATGTTGGTGATGCGGTCTTATCACCGGACGCCAAGTATGCTTCAGAGAGCCGTTTGGTGGAAGTACTTTAATTTAATGTGCTTCATGTAGAGTGTCCAAGTCTCCGAACCCTAGAGGAGGTGGGAGAGCACAACGGCTTTGTACACTTTGATTTTTATTGACAGCCGGACATTGTGCTGGTTTAGTACCTTATTTTTCAGTCTACCGAGAGCTTGGCTTGCTTTACTAATTCATTAATCAATTTCCTGATCGATTTAGCCGTCCTTAGAGATGATACTTCCAAAGTATTTAAAGTTCTTGGTGTTCTTCAGGCTGTTGCCATTGATAGTGATGTTTGTGTGGGCGTGCGTGTGTGTGTGTGTGTGTGTGTGTGTGTGTGTGTGTGTGTGTGTGTGTGTGTGAGTGTGTGTGTTATCATAATATAGTAAAATATATAGAAGATAAATTTAAAAAACCCGGAAAGGAGGATATGGGAGGGAAGTGCATGGCTGTTTGTAATGTGATTGTCTTATATAGGTGGCCGTTAGAGCAGGTTGGATTGTAATAACCTATTACATGTATTATATATGTACACGCAAATCCAATGTTGCAGGGATTTCGCTGTCCAGACAAGTAATAATTAGTGTGGTCTTATGCCATATACTAAGCTTATATCAGGCTATTATAAGTATGATACATAGAGTTACCCCTTTTTAAAATAGTGTACATCTATGGAATGAATAAATTCTTTAGTTTATACCATCTGAGCGTGAAGGCCATGTATTCCTACAATAAGCCAACATGGCAACTCGTACGGTATCTTTGATGCTAGAATTCTGTGCTTTGATGTCATGAATTTGCTGACTTAGCCAGTTCCTCCTCCGCGTAGTCAATAGTTTTTAGAGCTTCCTACGTATTTTCTGTAGTATTTAGAAAAGCTTATATCATTTTGTCTTATTATTGATTAAAAATACAAGTGTTTTAAAGACAATACATTAAATACTAACCTAACGGTAAGTATGAAAAAAATATGATTTTTGACATTATTTCTGTGTCTGTCGCCAACTTGGCAAGGGCTAAATTTGGGAAAATATCCGACTACAAACAGCAATTTTAAAGATCGAAACATCTTGAGAAACTGTTACATTTCGGAAAGGAGCGGCGAATAAGCAAATAAAGACAAATTATTTTTAAAAAAAATTAAAAACAACGTTACACTACTATAGGTTAGGTTGTTTTCATATTATACTACAATTAAAGAATATTTGACTAGCTTTGGTGCAATCATTAAAAGTCATTAAAACTCAATCGTTTATGAGAATAGGGTCTTGCTCTATACACGAACCAGCTTAGAATTTCTAAATGCTGTAAATTAACCGACAGTAAAACTACCTATTAATGTTATAATTTAAAGTTACTAGTGAGACAAACAGACATAATTAAAATTAAATATTTTGGTGGGATTTTTTGTGGGAATGAATTCAAAAATTAATACAGGTCCTTGGCTGATCACAAAGGAAAACTTTCCAGAAAAGAAGAATCCCATGGTTGGAGCAAATACACTTATATTAATAAGAAGAAAGCGGTGAAAATACGATTTATTTTTTACAGTATAATTCTTTTTGCTTCAAGAATGCAGCCCACTTAATTACTTATTTTTCATTTAGACCCCACAGAGACGGAAAAGCCAAGGTAGCCTAAGCCTAGCAAAGACAGTACATAACTAGACTCTTTGGGCCTAGGCTGTTAAAAAAATATCGATAAAAATCTCACAAACGTTTATACTCGATTACTATATTCGTACTTAAATTTATGGCGGACATTTTAAATGTAAACAAACAATCGTTGAGTCGCTAAGCCCAAGAGAGAGAAAACTTTCTTGTAAGTGTTTAACATTTGAATTATGAATAAATTTAGTTTTTCGTGGAGGGGTGGAGTCTTTCAAGATCTTTCTCTAGAATTCTGTTACCCTCACTACAGCTGTTGTTGCAGTGTGAGTGAGTGCTTGACTGTCTAAACTCAGTTGAGTAGAATCTAACTGTACCCCCTATTGAATTGACCTTATTGAGGCTACTGCTGTACAACCAACCAACTATGGAGATTCTCACATTTTAAATTTTTAGTGTCCCCAGTCCAGTTGATCGGGTCAGCAGGAGTCGTCTTAGGGCAAATTAGGGTCTTGTTAGTTCTAGTCAGTTTAGTAGTATCTAGACCTAGAAGTCAGTTGCAGACTCCTTGTTGTCAAAAGAAGGCCACCTCTATTCTCACCCGGAGTGAGAATAGTGCAGGCGAGTCTTTTGGCTATTCTCACCCGGTGCGCGTTCACCGTTATAGCCTAGATCTAGGCCAACAAATTTTGCTTTTACCCTAAACCACAGAATTCTACACTGTATAACAGAAAAATTGTAGAATTCAGTGCCGTGAACAAATGTTCCATTACAACTGTAGCCTACTACTAAAAGCGTACAATTTTGTCTGTGTGGGCAGTGGAGAGAGAGAGAGGAGTAGCGCGAGAACTTCCGCTCAAAACAAAATGGCGACCCGCGTAGTTCGGCTCGATTCGAAAAGTTAAATAGATCTAGCCGTAGCATCTTTGTAGACAACCAAATTAATATACTTTTGTGTTTTAACATAATTTTTTAACTTTGTTTTGGTCAATAAAAAATCAATTTGATCGTCCACACCGATAGAATGATAGACAGTATTCAGAAAGAGACCGAGAGAGAGGGGAGGAGTAGATCTTGCAAGAACTTTCGGGCAAAACAAAATGGCGACCCGTGTAGTTCGGCTCGATTCGAACAGTGAAATAGCCATAGCAACTTTGAAGATCAAATTAGCTTACTTTTGTGCTATAACGTAATTTTTTCTTGGCTTTTATCAATTTGATCATCCACACCGATAGACAGTGTATTCCGAAATGAGGAAAAGCAGGTCTTGTTTCGCACGGGGTGAGAATAGCCTACGCTGGCAAGTCTCACCCGGGGTGAGAGGTAGATCGTTTTTCTATTCTCACCCCGGATGAGAATAGCCACTTCCTCAAAAGAAACGGAGCTTTTTAGATCTAAATCTAGATCTAGATCTAGTTCCCACCCCGCCATGGGCCATTGTTCGCGGGTTTTGGCCCCCCAAGAGTAGGGGGTTTTAGGGGGGCTTGCCCCCTTGACCTACTAGATATATCTAGATCTAGATCTATCCTAGAAAAATAAGGTAGGGGGTTTCATTCGGCTAGACTGGCAGTCTTAAGTACGGCTAGACTTGCAGTCTAGCCGTACTTATTAGATTCATATGATGGCTAGACTCACCATTTACAAAAAATAGGCCTACTGAATTGTAAATATACATTTTTAGTGTGCAGTACCTAAAGTATTTGTATTTTCTTGAGACGAAACCAGGTGCATGTATTTTAAACCTCCTGTTTTCTAATGTTAGTAGGGCCTAGTATAAGTACGGCTAGACTGGCAGTCTAGCCGTACTTAATATTGATGGCTGAATTGTAAATGAAATTTTTAGTTTGCAATGCCTAAAGTATTTGTATTTCAGACAAAACCAAAAGGTGCCTTACTGACTTGCATGTATTTGAACCTGAATAATTACTAGATCTAGATCTAATGAGACCTGTGTACTTAACAGGCTTGAGTCGATAGGGCCAAACCTAGATCTAGATCTAAGTACGGCTAGACTAGCGGTCTAGCCGTACTTAAGTACAGCTAGACTCTCAGTCTAGGCTGTACTGCTAGCCACTTCGTACCATAATTTGATGTTTTGCAGTTGTTAGATTTGTTATAGAGTAGCCTATATCTTAGCTTGCCGCGCATCAAACGTATATCTAGATCTAGCTAGATATCTAGACTAGACCTCTAGAATCTAGGGTGCTTTTTTGGTAGATCTCGATCTAGTTCCCACCCCCCTTATTTGAGCCTGACCTAGATCTAGATCTATACGTCTGATTCGCGTCGAGATAAGATATCAAACCTAACAACTGTAAAACATGAAATTGTTGTAAAATTCAGGGAGGCATGCCCCCCTGAAAGTGATTCTAGGTCAGGGGGGCTTGCCCTACTCTTGGGGGCTAAACCTGTGAATAACAATTGCGGGGTGGGAACTACCGAAAAAGCTCTGAATCTAAAGATCTAGATCTAAATCTAGATCTAGATTTTCTAGATAGATCCTGAGGCTCAAATAAGGGGGGTGGGAACTACCGAAAAAGGACCAAAGAAACGGCCCTTCGGCAGATTGGAAGGATTTATTCTCAGCAAAACAGGTTTGAAAAATAAGAAATGTGATGACGAAGGTGGCCCTACAGATTCCCTAAACTAGATTCTAGATCTCTCTTATAAAAAAGGAAGGACATCCATAAAGAGCGACCACCCCCCAACAAACACTACAAAAAGAAGAAGATGAAGAGCCCTAACCCTATCCAAACCAAACCCTAAGCCTACCCCAAACCTAAACCCTACCCCTACCCTTAACTTAAACCTAAACCCTAACCCTACCGCAAACCTTACCCCTACCCCCTGCCCCTCTGTTCTACTCTGTCTCAGTGGTTGCTTGTTACGGAAGTCCTCCCATAAAAAATTGTAAATAAATTGACAATCTCAGGTTTTTGCCCCAAGATCAAGCCAAGAGGATGATGAGTCATTAGATCCAGATGTAGAAATATTAGCTCTTGCTTGTCCTGCGTCTGTGCTGAGATACGAATCTTAGCAACCGATAACGTCGGACGTTCTGGGCAGTCCGCTGGGGTCACTCAGTGTGTAGGCCTACTGTTGGTGTACGTACAGCGTGCCCGCCTGGAACCTGGAAACGTGTGTTTTCGCCATGAATAGACCAACCGCGGGAGTTGTGTGTTAATCAATGATGAAAATAACGCTGTCTTTCATATATATTTCTATTTATAAAGTGTTACAAACACATGAATAACCCCCTCTCTTAAGCTAAGACATTACGAGTAGTTACGACCATTCGAATAACCTTTCTAGACACTCTTGGTGTTATGAATGACCTGGGGTTCGAAAGGGGATTATCTATAGACTATAGAGGTCGGTTTCCGAACGTTTTGCACTCAAATTGTTCTTCGTACCTGTGTAATGGTATTAGCTTATTTTTTATCAGGTATTATCATGTCATACAAAATAAGCTCATTTGACTCCCCTGGGGCAGTGCCACTGACTTTAGTTAGTGTCTTTAGACTATTTCCAAAAGGGGGACATTTCTCGTTCAAGCACAGTAGAATTGATTTTTGTAAATGGGGTGATTCATCATGTCACGCTCATATAACTGTGCCTGATCTGCAACAGGGAACTGCTGCTTTTTCTTTCCTAATCCTCATGTACTATTGTCATTTCTTCTACTTCTTTTATATTTTGTCACTCTTGTGACCCGCTATTTCCTGGGTGCCTTGATAGTCGAAGCAGACCTTGTGCTGTTAAAGCTAGAGAGGTGAGCAGAGTAAGTCTGATTCCCACCCTTTGGCGCTCATATATATATATGACCTAATGCAGTTGCGAGCACCGTAAATCCCAACTCATTTGAAAGATTTTGAATAGAAAAATGGAAATCTTGTTTCCTGACTATCCTTTCGAGCTCCTCATGTCTAAGTTGGTCAGGGGGCTCTCGTGGCCTAGAGGTTAAGGTGTTGGTCTCTCATTCAAAGGTCCCGGGTTCGATTCTGGGTGGCGACCAAAATATTTTCTTCTCTAAAAGTGTCTCCTTTCACCTCCTTTCCTGATCTCTAACAATGTTCTGTTGTCTGCTTTCATTTCCACTTTCTGCCCCCGCCCCCTCACCTCCTTTGCCCCCTCCTCTGGGCTCCTGACTCTTTCTGCAGCCTTTCTACTGCTACTCCTTGGCTCCTCCTAACTGCTGTCTTTCTGCCACACCCCTGATCTTCTGGTAGGAAAGATCTACACCTAGCCTTCTCAGACAAGGGCGAAAAATCTCGGAGGGCCAGTGTGCAAGTTGCGCACGTTAAAGATCCCTTGGTGGTCTAAAATCGATAAGAGTAGGCTTCGGCCGCCACCCGGGCAAAATTCAAAATTTCCTACCAACGAAAAAGTATAAGGTGTGTCCCGCGCGCTCATATGACCTTATGCAGTTGCGAGCGCCGTAAAACACTTTACTAAACAAACAAACAATAAGTTGGTCAATTTGTTCTATAATTTCATTGGACGAACATCTTGAGCTAACAACTTGGTGTGTTTTGAATGAGGCTGAGACTTATGCCTCGGTTACGAACCAACGTAAGCGGTTCTAGAAGAAGGCCACAAGAAATGCACACAAACTCAAGCAGACTGATGCACACGCACTTGAGCTGCGTGAATGCGGATCGGACACGGGACCCGAATTGAAGGGGGGATGATGCTCGGCACGCATATGCTGAGCCAGGGGCTAGACTGACGCGGGACCAGAACGCAGGCGAGGTGCCGAAATAGGCTTATCGGGTGACATAAACCAGACTCCCGCAGGACGAGGGTTAAAATTAGGCCTAGATTTAGATCTAGATTCTAGATCTAGTAGATCAAGTTTTTATTACTATTATTACATGAAAGCTATTATAATAGGCCTACTTATTACATTACAGCGAGCACCTTGCACAACTTTCGGTTAAATGTAGAACGACACATCTTCCTGATTGGCTGCTAATTTTAGTAATGTCATGTCATCACTCTCTAGGATACCCACAGACTATTTTAAGGAAGCCATGGAGGTACCGCATGAAACGATGTGTTTTCGGTATGTAATAACATTTCAGAATTCCTAGTACTTGGGCATGGTGGATGGAAGATCGCTTAGATAGACTAGATCGTTGATGCTCAGAACAGTAAGATTAAGAACGCTGATGCTTGAAGTTGAAACACGGTAAACTCAAAGACAATAAACCGCTCGAAAACTGCCGTAATGACGCCGGAGGATTATCCCCAAACTCCTCCAGCATGCTTACTTCATCACTACGTTAAAAAAAACCTACAAAACAACAAATATTATAGTTTATTGGACAAATTGTTGGTCAGTCGCGAGGAGGAGGGAGGTGAAGAGGAAAAAAAAACCTTCCGGGACCGGGATTCGGTCCCACGCTCATATGACTTCAAACGCAGACATGCTGACGCTGTCCATTCGTCCATTAGAACTTCCAACAGCGAAAGGTAGATTAAGCTTGATATACATAGACACTTCCATCTTTAGTGCCGTGCGGTTGGCTATAATTTAGATGTAGTCACGTGATCGGAGGGGTATCCTGGTCTGACGTCAAACAAGATGGCCGCCTTACCTAAAAATAGTTTGCGTCGTTCTACGTTTAATCACATGTCCTAGCACACCTCTGTGATTGGCCCAAATTTAGATCTAGATCTAGATGACATATATATATTTCCACCATCTATTTTTGTTGTCTTCCAGGGTTTCCCTTCCCGGTTGACTAGATCTAGATCTCGCCATGGCGAACCCGCTTAGCGTGCGATGGGCTACGTCAAAGGTCTCATCAGCGACTGCTTGGGCTGTGTGCGCACGTGTGTGTTTTAAAATTGAATTATTTTTTTTCACTTTGGGTACCCTGAACCCATCATCATGTTATTCTTCACTTTTATCGTGCTTTCCATACTAAATGATTTTAAGTGTAATTTTTTTTCTTTTGTATGATTCCATTTTCATGTTTTAAACATTGACTTTTGTATTAACAAATTTTCCCCCAGAAGCTGAGCAAGTTTTGTAACCCACAAGAAGGATGACCGTTGAAGCCCTGAGGGACATATTTATTGAATGTCAAGATTCACAGAATCAGCACCAGCTGGTTAAAGCCTTTAAAAAACTTTACAATGAAGTGAGTGGTTGTGATTGGTCTTTAACTACTTTAAGATTTTGGGAATATTGTACGTTATAAAGTTGGATTTTAAAATATTTTGTTAGGAAACGTATTTGGTGCAAATTATATTCTTGAAGAAAAAAATTATACACAGTCAAAATTGTCTAATAGAAACGGCCACCCATTGTCGAGGAGAAAAGTGGCTGTCTTAGATAAAGACAAATGGATGTCTTACACAGTGTCATGCGAGGGGGGAACTGGGATGTGGTAGTTTGTTCTGGTGATTATCTTTTATACAGGTGGCCGTTAGAACTGGTTCGACTGTATTTTGAATTGCAGTGAACTGAAGGGTGGGGGGCTCAGCTCACAATGTTAGCTTTGAATTTTCACACATTATATTATAGCCAACTGAAGGAATGTGTCTTGTACATCTGCAACTTTAAAATGAACTCCCACATACTTGATAAGAAGCATTGTTCCTTGGGTTTGGGTCCCTTTTTATTTTTTTTCAATTGAAAGGTTTGGGTCCCTATTTTTTTTTCAATTGAAAAATATTCTGACATGTCATGATGTAAAAATATTGTTTTTTCTTCTCTTACAATACACCACAGGTGCCCTTTGACACATTTTGGCCGGAATTTCTATACCTGGTGAAGCACCCTTTGACAGTATATGACAGACAACCAGCTGTAGAGAAAACAATTGAGTTCTTGTCCAAAGCTGTTACTGAGCTGGCAATTGCACATGCCAACACAACCGGTCAATCTGCAAAGAAAAAGAAAGATGACAAAGAAGCACAGAAAGAGGATGATGCTTCGGATGAAGAGGAAGGCGATATGCATCCCCTGCTGATGAATTTTTTTGAGTTTCTCCTTGATGTAAGTCCTATGCATCTGTCTTTATGGAAAATATTTCTTCCTTAAAATATTTCTGTCTTAGCGAAAGCCAGATTATGCCAGCCTCCATAAATGCCCTGTGAATTTGAGAATAAAATCACTTAGACCCAGGAATTTAAGGAAATCTCCAGAATGACCGGAGAAAGCCCAGAGAAAATGAGTTTTGTTCTACAAACAGCGAAAACCTAAGCTGATATGGTAAAGAGGTCCAGTTTTTTGGTGGCATTTGTAATTTATTTGACTTTCCCCGTTCTGTGAATAACTTTTGTGTTAATAAGCGGAAATGGCAGATGTGAGATGTCATTAAAAACTCAGATAAATCAAGGCTGTGCAATCTCTATTTGAATAATTATGTTCTAATTTTTATTGCCTTACCACCCAGAATCCTCAAATTATGGCCTGATAACTGTCATAGTTATGATACGCGAATGATCAATGTTCGTTGTTATTGTGAAAATTAGTTTGATTAAGTCTACTTTTGCACTATTTTCTTCTCAAGTTGTGTACACCCTTCATTCATAGTTTTAGAAATTCATGTACTTTTGATGGGAGAAGAAATCTGTTTTAAGCATCTGCTCAAAGAAATGTGCTGTTATTGGCTCTTCACATTGAAGAGTAAGTCTTTTCCAGGGGTCCTCATTGTAATGTCTTCTTCCTGGAGATCATGTACCCCAGTGTCTACCTATGTGTTAGAATTGTTAGCTCTCTGAACTCTCTATCTTTCTGCAGGTTCACTGTGCAAAGGATAAAGGCATAAGATTCAGAGTGTGCCAGTTGGTCACCCGATTGCTTCAGAATCTTGGTGAAGGAGCCAAAATTGATGACAGCTTGTATGTCAGGATTTATCGTTGTATGGTGGAGCGCCTGAGAGACAAATTTCCTCTTGTCCGAGTCCATGCAGTTTTAGCTCTTACAAGACTTCAGGATCCATCAGATGAAAACTGTCCAATCACCAAAGGTTTTTATCTGTGTTTTTGATTTTGTTTAAGTCAAAGTGTTGAAATTCCTTTGAAGATTGATCTTGTTACTTTTACCAACTTTTCAATGTTGTTTAGTTATTGGAAATACAGTGAAAAAAGAGCAATGATTTGTCGCCTTTCGCGTTAACAAATTGCTTGCAACTTGGAAGATCAGGTCTGATAGCATGCTGTAAGTGTACAGCCTGTGTTATAGCTCCTTCAACGTAAGATTTATCAATGGTGTCCCATGTTGAGAAATTGGTGTCTTAGTGCTTAGACCAACAAACTTATGATCCACATGGCAATTCAAAAGCATCCCTGGTGGAAATATCAGCTACAATTTTTTTATTTTTTTTACATCAGTCTTGCTCATAGTTTTCAAGTCTTTCATTTGGAGGATCAAGTATGGTTAAGTAGCGACTATGGCAATGAACTAGTGGAAAACTATCTTCATTTATATAAATGTTTTCCACTTCATCTGCAGCCTATATCATTTTGATGACAAGAGATCCAAATGTAGAAGTGAGAAGAATCATCCTCACTTGCATTGCGCCATCCACATTCTCTCTTCCTGCCATCATTGGACGCACCCGTGATGTCAAGGACACTGTCCGGCGGACTGCTTACACTGTCATTGCTGAGAAGATTCCTCTGAGGGCTTTGAGAATCGAACAGAGAATTAGACTCTTGCAAGATGGTCTCAATGACAGATCAGGTAATGTCCAAAGTGATACTGTATGTAATGTCTCTTAATTGAGCTAAAAGACAACCAGCACCCATGTGCTATTAGATTCATTATTTTGAGAACGGTTCTTTGTGTTTGTTTATTATTGTTAAGGATTTTGTAGTGTTTGACACGTAAACTAATATTTCAAGCTTCTTTCATTGTAAATTTGATTACACACACTTTAATAATAATAATAAATTTCAGCTTTACTAAGAAAGTGCTCAATGCACATGACAATTATTCAAAGAACACATAGAGGGTTCCAATAGTGGTCCTGTCTCTTTCTCTCGCTCTGTCTCTCTTTCACTCTCTCTCTCTCTCTCTCTCTCTCTCTCTCTCTCTCTCTCTCTCTCTCTCTCTCTCTCTCTCTCTCTCTCTCTCTCTCTCTCTCTCTCTCTTTCTCTCCCCCTCCCTCCCTCCCTGCCTTCCTCACACAATCGCTCACTCACTCACAGCATAGGGATGAACAGAAACACCTCTGGCTTGGGCGAAATACAGGTCTAGGTCTGGACCTAAATCCACTGAATTTGAAGTTGAATCCTCGCCATTACCACTGTCAATGCTTTCACTACTACAACCACTACTGTACTCGTAGTCTTGATCAAGGTCTCCTGTATCACACAGGTTTTCAAACATTACTCGCCTGGTAATTTGGCCAATGAGACGTGGCTCTCTTTCATCCAAGTAGAAAAAGTGGGTGGTTGGCGGGTGTTCTGGTGTGGTTTGCTTCTTCTTTCCTATCAAACATCTATCGTACTTTTCTCCCCTTCTTCTTTTTTATGTTTGTTTCTCTCTTGTAACACCTCTAATCTTCTGGCGCTCATATGACCTTATGCAGTTGCGAGCGCAGTAAAACTCTCTACTAAAACTAAAAACAAGTAGAGAAAGTACTACAGTCCAACCTCATGGAGTTCACTGTTTGTAGAGACCATTGCCTGCACCAAGTGCAGAGTTTAGAGCTGATTGGCTGACTATTTTTAACGCATAATTATCTGATGAGAGGTTCTAGTAGACAGGGAATCCGACATAATTAATGGTTTCTTTTTCAGATGTCTGTTTTGGAGCAGACATTGACGATCTTGGTACCCCATTCCTTCCTGCTGTCTTGTCTTCATGATCAGCTCAGTTTTTCTCTTTTTTGTTATTCGTTGTAAAGTTGTTCAGGCCATCTGTGTATGTTGTTCTTTGTTTTCCTCTGCTCTTTCCCTCTATCTTTCCACACAACAGCAATTTCTCTTGTCCAATTGATTTCAAAGAATCTCAATTGTCTTTTTCTTATTGTTTTGATTATTGATCTTTCACAACCTGCCATTTGGAGCACTTCTCTATTTGTTTTCCTCTCTGTCAATGAGATTCTAAGTATTAAATACCACATTTCAGCAGCCTCCAGTCTTCTCTCTATGTCCTTGTTTTGAGTCCAGCTCTTGCATCCATATAAAATGACTGACCATGCATATGCTTTCAGGATTATTTTTTGTTCACTGTTATGTTTCTGTTTGAGAGGATGGGTGTCATCTTGATGAAAGTTTCTCTAGATATTGCAATCCTCTTTATATATATAGATCTATATATTTATTTTTTTAAAATTTTTTTTTTTGCATCTGGTGTAATTGTGCAACCAAGGTGTGTAAAACTTGACCTGTTTTATTCTTTCATTCTTACATGTGATGTTGCATACTGGGATGTCAGCACTTTTTTAGATCACCACACATTTCATTTTCTTAATGTTCAGTGGTAGGCCCTTCTCTTCTCTTTTCTCTGTCACTCTAGTTAGAATCTCCCGGAGCTTAGACTCAGAATCAGCTATTAAGGGTTTGCATTGTGTATTCCAGGTAAACCAAGAAAACGGCTGACAGGGGTTTTAAAAAATTTCATTCATGACTTTTTAAAATTTTTATTTGATCCTTCAATTTTGTAGTGTAAATTCTCTACGAGTAAAGTATGTAAAGCTAGAAAAATAATTGCATTTGTCTGCTTTTATTTTATGGTATTACTTATTACATTGAAATGGGTGGCACATAATGTTGTTTTTAATTTTGAAAGTCTTTATTCCTACCTCCACATGCATTATGTTGTATTATGTTCTTCTAACTTTGTGGGTGGTTGGCAGGTGCTCTAGTGTGGTTTGCTCCTTCTATCCTATCAAGTCTCTATCATCTTTATCTCTCCTCCTTTTTGCTCTTACTCTCTTGTAACACCTCTAATCTTCGGCACTGATATGACTTAATTATGTTGCAAGTGCCGTAAAGCACTTACAAAAACAAGTTCTTCTCTTTGATGCACAGAGATGGTTAAAGCTGCTTGCTCCAACAAAATGCTTCAAGCCTGGCTTTGTGCCAGTGAGGGCAATGTCCTGGATTTACTGACCAGACTAGATGTTCAGAGCTCTTCAAAGACTTGTGAATCAGCACTCAAGATTCTGTTCAAGAACTCAAGTGTTTTTAAAGTTATTGAACTGTTTACCATCATTGATGAGAAGTAAGGTTTTCCATTTGCCGTCTTGTTTTCTTCCCAGTATGTTGTTCTTAAAGTGATAGAAGAAACAGTCTGAATTCATAAATAATAATAATAATAATAGATAGCATTTGTATAGCGCATATCCCCGCTCAACAGCAGGCTCTATGCACTTTACACTATATTATTACCCCAGCAGACCATAGAACACTCCGAAACATTCTCAGCTTCCCGGGAAGCATACAGTGCAAGCAGCTGATTAAGCGCTCAAACACTAACAAACTGACAAGATCTTTCGCTGTCTATAGCCGGGTACCCATTCACACCTGGGTGAAGTGAGGAAAATTCGTGTAAAGTGCCTTTCCCAAGGACACAACGTCGGGTCCCTGACGGGATTCGAACCCACGACCATACGGTTGCGAGTCCGAGAGCCTAACCAGTAGGCCACCGACGCCACCATCTTGAAGGACATCTCAGATTTCTAAAATCTTCCAGACACTTGTATTTTATTTCTTATCTGTGTACTTGCTTAAAATATAATGGTCCTTTATGACTCTCGATAGAAGCTAGTCTTCAAAAATTGTCAGAAATTTTGTTTTTATGGCTATGTGGGCTTTGTAGTGAGGACAACTCCTTATCTCCGGCAAGCAGTCCCACTGGCTTGCGATCGAAACAGCTGTGCATTTATTTACGACTTCTATGTCAGATTAGTTTTCTGCAGTTGCCAAAGACAGGTTCCAGTAAAAGATGACAATATGAAATAGGTTCATTTATTTTAATTTTATGACCAATTTAATATGCTCGTATATGTCACTTTTAGATTTCACATTAAAAAAGGGCCCTGGCATCATGGGCTTACCCTCCTCGGAGATAAAGAGTTTAAGAATTACTAATTGGTTTTTGCTGTTTGAATTACGGGAATATTTTGCTTTCGTGTCTCTCAGAGCTCTTGTTCCAGAGGAAAAACTGACGTGTGAAAGTGCCTTCTATTGGCGCAACGTGGTGCAGTATGTTCAGCAGGCTGGAAATGAGTATGATGAACAACTGGACAAAGTCAGACCCAACTGTTTGGATTTTTGTGATTATCTGGAAGGGTATGCTTCTCTGATTGCTGTACAATTTTTTCTTGCACTCGTTTCATTTCAAAATTAAATTTTTATATCAAGAATGTAAAGAGATAGGTTTAATCCTCATTCCAGGTGAATGTTTGAGAAGCGAAGGTCGAGAAACATTGAGATTTAAAAAGAGAAGGCTGATTTTTCTTGGCGATGATTCTATTTATTTCAGACTTCTTGGTTCAATCTGGAAATTAATTTTGTTTGCTTAATCCGCTATAGGACAGAGAAGAAAAACGCATTACCAACTTCAACTGGGGTAAGGGTGGAGGAGGGTTGATGGAAGAAAGCCAAATCCTCATGGAATTGTATTGGCTATGAACTTTCTGATTTCAGAGTAACAAAACAGCTGATGAACTGCACAGACCTTGACAAAATGCTCGACATAGAATTCATGATTCAGCAACTTTTACAGATCCTCCTGTGCATGGATCTGTCTGATCAAGCAAGCAGGTGTGTAAGAAATGATTGAACCTTTTTTACTTGCTTTGCAATTGAATGTTTGAACTTTCCAATTTATATTATCTCAAAGTTGTAGTGTTAGAAATTGAGTAAAGAAGTAAAGATCGGTCTGCCCTGTGTACGAAAGCCCAAGTATGCCTTGCTGTCCTAAAAAAATGTATAACTGAGTTTTAGACAAAATTATGTGATTGGTATTTTCAGAAAGGTGATTGCAAACTCTTGGTGACATTGATTATTTATTTTGTAGAATGTGAAGTTATATGAAAAGGTGGAGGAGATAAAGCACGTTTTCTTGAAAATGTACAGTTACATTTTGTCATTTAGCACATTTAGTAAATAACGTTATGAAGAACATTGTTCTCTCACAACATAATAGCTTTCTTAAAATCTTTTGTTGATATCAACTATGACTATTTGTTGCCGCACCATTGAGTCCTCTCTAATTTTCATTTGAATTGTTATTGTGTGATAGATTTTTTGGTCTTTGTACACATGCAATTGGCTTTAAACTCAATAGTTTGCTTCTTTATACTTACAATTGGCTTTACACTTTGAAGACAGTTACCTCTCGCCATTGCTGTTTATCTCGCTTCTTTCTCTGTTCTTTCAGTCTGTTGTGTTACTTTTTCCCCGCACTATACTGTCATCTTTGTGCTTTGAATCATCTTGCCATCTGGTTTTGTACACATACATGATGCATTTTTTTGTCAGAGCTTTAAATGTGACAATAATCATTCTTTTAGTTGTCCCAACTTATTGTTGGTGGGACACTTGACTGCTGTGGGTTCCTGATTTTCAAATTTCTGCAAGGATTTCTCAGAACTGAAGTCTTCTCTGCCTCACTCTGTGCTACTTTGAAGTTTACATTGTGTGGACAGGGGTGTAATACTCTGATCAAGAGTCTCAGATTCCCTGGATTGTTCTACCTGGAAGCCATTTTTTTTCTATTATTTTCATAATTTTCATTAAAGTCGGTAAGAACAGTTATTGTGGGTGGTTGGCGGGTGCTCTGGTGTGGTTTGCTTCTTCTTCCCTATCAAACATCTATCGTCCTTATCTCCCCTTCTTCTTTTTTATGTTTGTTACTCTCTTGTAGCACCTCTAATCTTCTAGCGCTCATATGACCTTATGCAGTTGCGAACGCCGTAAAACCTCTACTAAAGCTAAAAAAAACGTTATTATTCTCAATATTTGTTTCTGTTTAACCCCATATCAACAGTCAATTAACTGTCTTTTTGTTTGCAGATTAAAATTAATAAATTTTGTGTTATTTTCACAAAATGCACTTTGTGTCCCTGGTTCTAATAATCAGCCATATTTCACCACAGGAAAAGGGCAGAGAAACTTTTGAGGAATCTGTTGCTGTCAGACCATGTGGGTTCTTCTCTCGTGGATCACATCTTACCTTGCCTTGGCCAGCTCCATACAGACACAGAGGAACTGGTCAACGTTGTAGCTGAGATCATCTCTGAGATCAGGGAGCCCATCACATCTGTCGAGAAAGAAATCTCAAAAGCTGACCGCAGAGATTTAGATAAAAAGGTTGTTCTCTGGCTGTGATACTGTTTCTGGATAAAATGTTAATGTCTTTTTTTTTTTAATTTCTAAAAAAACTTTGGTTTACTAACAGTTTGAACCTGTAGTAATTACTATTTTCTCAATTATGATAACATCAAAACGAAAAGACATTCTTGACCAAACGATGGTTTTGTTAACCTCTCGAGTGATCGTATGTTAAGGAGAACAAAAAAAACCTTAATCCTCTAAGATGGAAAGCTTTAATTTATTATGTGCTGATATGTTCCTTGCTCTTTGGCGTAGCAAAGAGTAAATTATAGTCACAATCAGCAAGTGCCAGATGTGCGACAGACATCCAAGATCATGGTTCTCCTTTATTCCTTTTCTCAGATGCTCTTAAAAAAAAGCTATATTATCCTGATTTTTTCCCCTATCACCCATCTGTTTAGGCTGTCCAAGTTCATTGTTCTGGGTCTTCTCTGCCTCGTTTGCCTTCAATTTTGTTAGTGAGAGCATAATCCTCTAAGAATACAAATAGCTCCAGTTATCTCTGCTTTTTTATTTGTAACATTTTTGTTTTACTTTTTAAGTACGTACTGTGTATAAAGATGTGATGGTGCTGTTTATACTGTAATTGTTTTGTTTTTCTTTCACATTATCAGATTGCTGGTATCCGAGTGAAGCTGAACCAGCTGAGGGAAGAACTCGGGGAGTGTATTGAGAAGCAGGATTTCGAGAGGGCAGCTCAACTAAAAACTGACATCTCTAACCTAGATGCTGAACGATCCTCTCTATTGGAAGAGACAGAACCCAAACTGGAGGAAGTACGCACCCAAAGGGTAAGCTGTTTTCATTCACTATAAGGATTTGGCTTAGATATATGTCTTATTACTTTGTGTATGTGTGTGTGGTGAAACACAAAACCAGTGTGCCAGCATCTGGACAATGAAGATTTATCTTATCTTATCTATCTTATTACTCTATTTAAGTTTGTTGGGTTTGTTTTTTTCTCACTATATTACATATTTAAGTTTGATTTAGCTTTTTTGAAAATCATTGTCCAGACATTATTACATAAAAAGCCTATTGTTTCCCTTGGAAAAAACTTGTTCCTGCCTTGGTGATATGTTGTATTTCAGTGACAACTTTTCTTTAGGATGGCAAGTTACAGCAGTTAGTGACTTATTGATTATAATTTATAAATGCAGTCCTGTGCTTTGTACCGCCATCGTACATTCTGTACTTGTGTACTTTACTTCCTGTATATGTTCAACTACCAGTCTAAACGGTGTCAGTCGAGTTCTGATATACAATTACCTTTTTATGAAAAGATGTTTTGCACCATCTAAAGAAATGCTCATCAGTACTAGTTTAGTTAAATGGCACCCAGCCTTTTGAAGAAAGAAGGGTTGCAAATGAAGCAGATAGAAGTAGCCTCAACCTTTCTTTACAAATTGATTTATTGATTTTCCTAATTTTTGTCCACTGAATTTTTTTACAGGATGACCCTCTCACAATGTTGAAATGCATTACCGTTGTTTGTGAGCTGCTGACTTCACCCAAGATCAAAACATTGACATCTACTCTCCAGATGCTTATGGAAGCTCAGGTAAGAGTTTTGGTGGAACTGACCTTTTAGACTGGGGTTGTTTTCACTCTTCAAACACTGATGTTGCTGTCTATTATTAGTGATGTAGGTCTTCTTTCTTTCACAAAATTAGATGTTATTTAACGCCAGTACTATCTGTGCTTACTTTCAAAGTCACCTTCGCCCCTACAGAATGTTTCTTGCAATTGTTTTATATTTGTAAATGCAACATTTTAACAATCTTTTACCTAGGTGTTGCCAGGTGTTAACATTGTAACAATCTTTTAACTAGGTGTTACCAGGAATGACCAACGAAGAAGCTGAAGTGAGGAATGCTGCTGTCAAGGCAATTGGTCTTTGCTGTCTCATTAAGAAAGATGTCATCATGCAGCATTTGCCTCTTCTGTTGCAGGTATAGTATTCTCATGCAGACCTACCAACTGCAGTCTAGCACGCACATAGTAAAATTGCCAGGACCCGGAAATCTTCTCACTATGTAGATGTTTTTTAATTTAAAGAACATGTAAGAACATATGGGGACCTGGAATTCTGTTTGTTATTTGCATGCAAGATTGTATTTTAAAAAATCTGATTCCCCAAACTTTTGCCTCTTCTGTCGAATTTCAAGTTGGATTTATTTTATGAAAATGCTTTTCCAGTATTTCTCTTATACAAGGGCATGGTTTTTATAGCTGACTTTTGAGCTGTTTTCCATCTCTTCTTAGTTGACATTTGAATTCTAATGATAACTGGACTTGTTCGGGTGGTTTGAAGACTCTAGACTGGTGGGTCTTCTTTTCTTTCCCTCTGTTGTTTCTGTCTGTGTGTCTTACTTTTTCCCTCTGTTTCTTTTTACTCTAACAAATCTGTGCTTTCTTGAATTTGCGTATTCAGTTGAGTTCAGCTACCTTAATATTGGGAGATTCCTATTGTTGTTGGGGGTAGGGGATTGTGAAAAGACTGAGTGGAGTGAGACAATGGGACAATTTTCCTTTCTTTTCTTTTTTTAACTCTTCGGGGGTTGGCAGGTCTGCTTGATATGGGCGTTGTTCGTTTTGTCTCTGTACACAAAGCACTTCTTGACTCTAACCCCATCAGGGATTTTGTAATAATCTCTTCTTTTGAGCAATAAAGATCAGCTTTTGTGATTTGTCTACCCCAGTGGCAATCCAAAACCCATTAATTGTACGGTATTCCATTCCTTTTTCCCTTTGTGCTCCACTCTCATGAAACTTTTCAACCTGTACAAGTAACAATATCTATCACTGAACATTTTGGTTTGACACAAGCATAAATTTTAATTTCCATTATAAGAAAATTTCAGTTACTGGCCTCTCCCAACATCACATTCAATGTTCTACACACTGGCCTGACACAAAAGTTGAAAACCTTCCTGGAGTTAGGCTTGTGTTCCAGACTCTAAAGTTGGATAGTGAGCATTCTTTTCTCAACTTTACGCCGTTGCTATTTTTATATCTTTTTCTGTTGTAATGTGACATCTCTTCTTTGTAATCAGGCCACCCAGATGGACACTCACCTTGTCAGAACTACTGCTATGCAGTGCATCTTTGACATTGTGCATGTGCATGGCTTGGACACCTTCAGTGATGAGGGGAATGCTTCCAGTCAGGAAACTAACAAGTCTTGTGCAGAGAGTGAAGCTGACCACACAAATGTCACTGACGCATCAGAGCTGGCTGACTCTACTGTCGGCTCTGTTAATGAAACTGCCGATGAGACAAAGGATGCAACTGCTGCCAGTGAAAAGACTGGGTGGAGTGAGACAGCCAGTAAAATCATTGCCATCCTAAGTGCATATTTAGATAATGAGGTATTAACTGTTCATTTGTGCTCATTTCATGTTATGACATGCATTTTATCAGAAAATGTTTCTGGAATCTCTTCTCTTTTTTTTGTACATACTTGCTCTGTGTATTACTATCTCGTAATATTTTCCTTGCTTCACAATGCGTTTTTCATCCAGTCTCTTCAACGATAGTGGAGGTGAAAAAATTTAACTTTAAAGGATGTTTTAATCATAGATTTTAGAGTTTCATTATATGCCTATCTATTACAAAATGAAATGGTTCGGGCAAAATAAGGAATAGTGGAAGTGTATATATATGTAAGTATAAACTTTTGTTTGTGAAGCAGTCTGAATGAGAATTTATGGTGGCATTCAACAGCACAGCTCAGAGATGTTTTGATTGGTTTTTTTTCTTGGGGTGAACATTTGGCAGTGTTGTGTGAGAGAAGGAAAAATTAAATGAAGAAAACCCTTTCTTTCTTTCTTTTTTTTTTTTTTGTTTTGTTTTTTTTGGTGTGTGTGTGTGTGAATATTTTACGATGCTTGCAACTGCATATATGGTCATATGGGCGTACTGGACACGTTAACAGTGCTTCCACTCTTCTGTATTTTTACGGAAATCCGTACTTTCTGCCAGTTCCGTATGGTTCCTCCATCATTATGAACTCCCTCCGTAAAAATATGCGACAGCATTGGACTGCCCAAATTCCGTACTCGCCTTCGTATTGTGTTGTATAAGTTACGGATATTTACGGTAATTCTCTCGGCAATAAGTTAATGTTTATAGAAACCTGCAAAATTGTTCATTTCCTTCAGTCGGCCATTATTCTGCTATGCCCCATGCATTCATTGCGGTGCGGTTGGTCGGCAGTTCATATTTTACATGCACATGAATCAAAATCTGGTGTACTTTTTGTGCCAATTTCCTCCTTTCTATCATTCACTCATTCCTTCTGTCTATCTTCGGATTGTTGCCGCGGCTGGAAAATTTGCGGGTTGATCAAGTAAATTGAGTTGTGATCTTAGACAGAAAGTTACTGTCAGAAAGAAACTTTTTTTGCAAATTTGTCTAGATCTAGAGACATTATCAATGTGAAAATTCTACGGCACGTGAACGCGATAATATAAGGGCCGCGATGAAAGAAATATTATATGCTTATACGGGGTGCCACTAAGGATGGGATCCGGCTAATCGCCCGACTCGGTCGCCTCAAAAACAAACGCGTTTGTTTTCAGTTTCAGACGATGGAGTCGGGTGATCGGCCCGATCCAGCCGTAGGTAAAATCAAGAATAATTCGAAGTGGTGTTCCGAGGTTGTGACGGGTGACATTCAGACGTGAAAATTGAGGAAAAATTAGAGTTTATGCTGGGCAACTGTATTGTAAAGGAACATATCTATTCATTATTCCCAAGTTTGCCTGCTATCAATGGTGCGATGACAAATTGATTGAATTATAGTACAATGAAATAAACATTGCCAGCAATGGAAAGATACGGTGTTGAAGAAATCAAACAAGACAAAATGTTGGTGAAAAAATAAATGTTATGGGCTGTAGGAAATCTCTTCAAATGCCATTTTTACCCCTCTAAAAGCACTAAATTTCAATTTCTTCGGGGGCTTTGCCCCCTGGACCCTGCTGGAGCAGCCCCCAGACCCCCAGCAGAACATTCCTTACTTTTAAGCTTCAGCTGGTGGAAGCACTGCGTTAAGCATATTCAATTTGGTAGGAATTTAATTTTGCCTGGGTCGCTGCTGAAGTCTCCTCTTATCGATTTTAGGACTACCATAGGATCTTTAACGTACAACTTACACTTCAAGATATTTTTGCTCTTGTCCAAAAAGGCTAGGTGTTAGATCTTACCTACCCTAAGATCAGGGGTGTGGCTGAAAAGCAGCAGAAAGAGTTAGGAGCCCAGAGAAGAGGGGGGGGGGGGCGAAATTGGACAAAAAGCAGACAACAGAACCATGATTAGAAAGCAGGGAGAGTGAAAGAAACATTTTTAGAGAAGAAAATTCTCTGTCACTGTCAGGTTTCGAACCCAGGACCTATTGTATGTGAGGCGAACTCTGAAAATGTTTAATGTGTCCAGCGCGCTCTTTTGACCTTTTGCAGTTGTGAGTGCCGTAAAACAATTACCAAAAAAAGAAAAGAACCAGTTTTCTCTTTGTGAATATTTCAGTCTGTCAATACTGTGTATATTTCAGAGTTTGTGAATACTCTCCGTATATTACATTGTAGATTTGTAGAGCCCATGGGTGGTTTCACTATTTTCATCTTCTTTCTGACAGAGTTCAGAGATTCGTAATGTGGCTGCGAAGGGGCTGGCCAAACTCCTGTTGTCTGGCAGAGTCATCTCCCCCAAGCTGGTGTCTCACCTGCTCCTGCTGTGGTACAACCCCATGGTGGAGGAAGACGAGACGCTGCTCCAGTGTCTGGGCATTTTCTTCCCGCTGTTTGCCTTCAGCAGCAGGTGCGCAATGGGCAAGTGGGTCCCATGTATTCAAAAGATGTTTCTTTATATTTAAAAAAAAATTTTTTTTTTTTAAAGGGGAGGGGAGGATGTCTTCTGCTTTAACGCTTTATCTCCAAGGGTGGTGAACCCACTGTGCCAGGGCAATTTTTTGGTATGAAATCTAAAAGTGATATATACGTCACTAAATTGGTCGTAAAATCAAAACAACTGAACCTATTTTGATAGTTCTCCATCTAATGAATGAACTCCAGGTAAAAGAGACCTGTTTTCGCAAATTTGCAAAAAGTAGTTTGATGCTGAAGTCGTCCTAAAGGAAAGTGCACTGCAGCTTCCTGGAGATAAGGAATTAAGGCAGTTATATTCTTGGAGATGAGACGAATAGAAAAATATGCGTTGGTAAAAACAATTTTTGTGTCCACTTGTTCTTTTATGTCTCTTTCTGGTGTTTTGAGATAATTCATGATAACTTGATGCAGGGAAGATACAATTTTCAGGGTCATGTATCTTCTAAAAATTTCTAGTTTTGGAGTTGTTGATGTTGTCATGAATATAGACAAGATGGATTGTTGCAATACGCTTGGTCCAGGAGAACAATGTGTAAGAATGTGCGTGCATTAGTCCTGTATACCAGCATTGTAGAATTTTCTTTTCAACAAGACTTTCTACAAAATATGGCTCATCATGTCCTTTTTTTTCTTCTTTTTTTGGGTGGAGGGGGGTCACCCATTTCACTAAACTGAATGTTTTTTTAGGAAAGATGACATGGTGTGTCTTCTTATCTGTTTGCATACTTTCTAGATAAATCGTTATTGACTGGTCTGTTACTATGATGTCATTGATGTTTGTTTCCCTCAGCACAAATCAGGAGGTTATAGAAGAGGCTTTCCTGCCCACTTTGAAGACTCTTCTTAAGGCACCATCCACATCTCCTCTGGCTGAGATAAACGAGGGCAATGTGTCCAACTTTCTGGTAGAACTCACTAATGCCCAGCACTTGGCCATTAACCAACAGTCTCAAGTGGAGCTGACGGTATGGAGTTTCTAATATTTTTTTGTACTTGTTCTCATAAAATGATTTGTAAGGCTGGTTGCACTTTCAGTCATGTATGTCTGATGGCTCAAGAAATCTCTTCTCATTGGTCCCGTAGCCAGTGTTCATATAATGACTGCTTTGCTGTCATCAGCCAACTCTGAGCATTTTGCTTCTTTTTAAAAGTCAGTAAAAAGAGCGATGTATTCAACAAGGGTAGCTATTTAAGTGGAGAACCTTTACACTAGCTCATCTTTATTCTCACACTTGCCGTTTCAAATTGGTTTTCCTGGGGCCCCACACAATAAGTTCCCTCCATGTCAATTGTTACTGTGACTCCTGGTTATGGTGTCTCGCACTGAACAAAATCTCAAATTATATTCCGCATACTAAATACAAATTACTGTTTATTTATTTATTTATTTTTTTCCCTTGCCCGTTTATATGAGATTGACGCCATCTGATTAGTAGATGATAGTCCAATAGTGTATTACGGGCATACTTCGTATAACTAGTAACTGAAATAGCAGATAGAGATTCCAGGATTATAGATGTACGTCATTGATATGAGAGCGGTGATGATTTTAGATATAATGGCAGTGACGAGTGATGATGAGGGTTTGCGTTTAAGTAATGTTAGCGTTAGTCCTATCTTCCTCTGCTCCAATGAGTCACGAGGGATGTGGGCACCCTCTATCCCATTCCAAATTACTGTTTAATTAATATAGATGCAGAAATGGCAATAGGCTTTGAGCAAAGACGTCAACTGAAAATATGTCTTTATGGTTCTTGGAGTCCAAATCTGCATTGACCTACCCTACAGGACAACCCTTGTCACGACAGCCTGGCTGTGAAGCTGTGCAATGAGGTGCTGTCCAAGCCAGACTCTTTCAACGTGAAGCTTTGGCTGAAGGTTCTCAACCAGCTGTTTCTCAGCACTGACAACATCATCTTGCTCAAGGATCTGTGTACCATGTGTGAGGACATGGCCATTGTGAGTTTTGCTTCACTTGAGGCCTTTACTTCAGGGATGTTGATCTTCTGAAATTTGTGTTGCAATTGCTATAAAACTCTTTGGAAAACTAAACTAAACTAATCTTCTGTCAGTTTTATAAGGTAAACTGTAAGAGGTTATTTGCTATATAGACTGCAAGTATGCTCAAAATGGGAAGACAATAATTTGGAGGAGATGTGTATGTCATATTGAATATACCCTCCCGGATATTCCTAGCATCTGCGTTTGTCGCGGCCACGAATCGCGGTCTCGATTTTTGGCATTTTTTGGTCCACGAATCACAGCCGTGATTTTTGTATTTTTCCAACAAATAAAAACTTCGCCGGGAAGAAAAAATAATTTAAAAACTACAACAAAGACGGGGAATAACATTCGGGGGGGGGGGGGGAAAGAAAAGAAATCTAACCTCTTTAGATCTACTTTTAGAAAGAAAGTTTATTTTCACTTTCGCTTCACTTCGTCTCTTTCTCACTTGTTAACACCACGTTGATTTATAATTTTCATGTGAAGAATATAAGTAGGCTACATTACATACTATTTTGCTGTTGCTATTTCATGTTTCCCTCTTTGTTGTGTTTTAATTTGTTGGTGTGTTAATTTTTTTTCTTCTTGCTTTTGTTCTGATGTGTTGTTTTTCTATTTTTTGTGTATATAGTATAGCGTAATAATGTTCTTCCTACTTTTTTTTTCTTCTAATTATGTGTTATGTTGGAGCGTGTCTCCACCAAAAACCGAATACTGACACGGGCAGGCCCCTTGTGTGTGATTCCGTAATTTACATGTAATATCCTGTACTTTTTCTTGAATTATACAGGTTTAGGGTTAAAACGGCCAATCTATGAATTGGGTTGACACTCGCCCTTATTTGCTAATTTTTGTGGTTGTTTATTAATTTGCTGTTCTAATTTTGATTTCATTCTGTTTTGAAACTTTTATTTTTCACGTTTTTACACTCTCTGTGGCTACAAATGGTATTCTGGATGCTTAAAACAGCACAAGAAATTCTAGTGTTTTAGATTAAGTTACCTCTATCAACATATTGCTATATTATGTCGTCACGAAGAGTAGAAAGCTTGAAAATGAATGGCAACTTTTGTGGAAAAAATGGCAACGAACGCAGATGTTAGATATTCAGTGCATTGGAAGCCCTCTGAAAGGTAGCATATAAACGTACATTTTTTTTTGTTTTAATGAAATGATAACTTTGAGTTAAAAAATTTAACTTCTTTTCCCCAGCATGGAATTTGAAACATAGTAATGCTGAGATATAGTTACGTTTATGGTGCAAAAACATTGGCATTATATAACTATTATTGATCCCTTACTTATTTTGGAGGAAAAGTCACACATTTAAAGGTTCAACGTGTTACTCTGATTCGTTAAATCAAACTATGGGCAAGGCTGTTTGAAAACGCCTGAATTCTGTTACATTGACAAAAAAGTACCACTTTTTATAGAGCAAAAACTTGACATGATACGAAAAAACTAATGTCATTTCTGGCATCAGCTATCCCAAATAAGCTTTGAACAATACTTAAACTTAATCCAGCAAAATGTGTGTTGAAAAGTGTGATCTTCCAAGGAAGTCCATGATTTCTAGGGGGAGAAAAATATTCCCATATGAATTTCCACAACCCAGTTTGGGATTTTAGGGATTTTCTGTCCACTGATGTGGAAATTGTGTTAAAGAAATGGAGGGCTTTCATACAATTTGATGTTGCAGTACAGTGCATTTGGCTGCTTTTGGTGGTAATGTGAATTATGCCTTGGGTTTTGAAAAGAATGGGGGGGGGGATGTTTATTGTTAACTTGGGATTACGTTTTTATTAATTTATTAACTTTCATATGTTAGTTTTATTTTGTATATTTATTGTGTGGTCCTGAGTTATTTCTATCTCTTTGTCCTTGTACTGTTATTCATCAGTGGGGGATTTTTTGGGGGGGAGGCGGGGGTTAAAATTATATTTTTTAGTTGTTGGACAAAAAAGATCGTGATCAATTTAGTTTCAAGACGTATTGTCCCCTATCATCTCTCCTCAATAATAGAGTGTAGACAGTATTTTGTCATTTTCTTCAAAATAAATCAGAAGTGTTTGTCTAGTCTATTCTGCCTCATGAGTATACATGTTAAATGTAAGTGTGGCACAGTTGTGGACATATTGAATGGTTCTACTGACAGGACTTGTTAGACCTGCTCCGCTCTTTTTCACAAATATAATTTTTAATAGAATTTGATAAACAATTGTAGAGAAAGAACAGTATACCGTATACAGTATAGATAAGTATAAGCTATTTGGTTGTTGGAAGGTGCCACTGGCAAGTTCATCATTCTGTTGGTAATTTCTGTCTATTGCTTTGCCCAGCACTAAAAGGCAATAATAGGTCAGATAGCATGCCAAAATAGAAAGTCAGTTCTCCTACCTGCTATTTTTTGGTTGTTGACATCTTCTTAGATTTTTATACCCTCTCAGCAAGGCCGAATGAATTGTAATTTGTGCTGTTTTTCATTTATTTAAACTGTTTTACAAGTCCCATGAAAATTTACTTTGGAAACTGATTTAACCACACACACACACACACATACACTCAACTACTAATCTGCAATTACAAGGCAAGGTATGTGAAAATTGCAAGGGACTCTTACATGTCGAGGTAGTTGTTCTGCTGCAGTTACATTGCAGATACTCACATTCATAGGAATGAAAGCTCCTTTATTTTTAGTTTTTATTTGATTTTAATAATTTCTTTTGAATTACCTGTTGAAGTATTTACCACCACGTTATTATCAAACCTCAGGTTATTACAGAGAAACAGTGTGTGAAACTTTTGGAGAAATTCAGAGAAAAGGTGAATGACCTGTATGACTTCCTGAAAGAGAAAAATACCCAACCGACATCAGAAACGGGGAATGTTGGTTCAAATGAAGAAAGCTCTCCGACGGCTGAAGGAGATGACATTGTCCAAAACATGTCTGGCCTGAAAATCAATGAGGAGACCAGTGGGAACCCAGAAGTAGCTAATGACGTAACCCCTGTCGTGGCTCCATCTGCACGGAAGACACGAGGTTTGTGTCACAATGCACTGTCAGCTTTAACTATGTACTTGGGGGGGGGGGGGGGCTCATTGTCTAATGGTAGGGTGTTGGCCTCTCATTGCTAAGTACTATATACCTGTTTCATTCAGGTGTGTTTTGGATAACTACAGGGAGGTTTTTGGGGGGGTTTTTCTTAGGTTTTGCTCGCTCTAGGTTGATGATGCGGAAATTTAATGGTCTAGGGAGAAAACAGGGAAGTGAAGTACAGTCGAACCTGCCTTAACGGAAACCTGTGTAAAACGGAAACCTGTCTTAACGGAATCTCCCCGCTCGGCCCTTGATATGTTCCTCTTTAATTACCTGTATAAAACGGAAACCTGTCCAACGCGGAAACGGAAAGAAAAATCCACTCCCTTCCGAGGGTTTCACCTGTCTAAGGTTCTTTGCCCACTCAGCTCTGATTTGAAACAATACTCGCAAGTTTGGTTCCGCCGGCACGGAAGGGGAGTAGCGGTGCAATTTGGGGGTAGATGTTACCTCATCGTGTGAGCCCTGAACGATGCAGATGGTCAGGGTAGTGTAGGTGTGAAATCTCACGACTACCCGTGAGCCACTATGAAAACTTTTTTGGGTAGCCAGAAGCCTGAAGTGTGAAATTAGATTGACCAATGCCTGCCACCCTGATCGTACGCAAGCCGAGATAAGAGTTCCTCGAATCATAGTTACATGATGGCAGTGATGGGTGGCACTGGTTGACTGTGCTTGTTATACCGGTGGATGGGGCTACGGGTGGAAGCAAGGAGATGTTCAAACGTTTCTGTTTTTAATAGGTCAAAGAGTGGTCCTATGAACGGCAAGCACTGGTGGTAATTGGATAAGTAAGACTGACGCATGTCATTATCAGACAGGATAGCAATTGAGAGGTGTGAAATTTTGACCACTGCTTGCCGATCAGACAAGCGACCCTTGACCCCACCGGCTGGGCTTTTTAACCCCTCCCCCTAAATTCCCCTGTCTAAGACGGAATTTTTTTCTGGCTCCCTTGCGATTGAGATTTTACGCAGATTCGACTGTAATTTAATTTAAGTGTGTATACTGCATGTTTATTATGCCAAGTTTAAGATTACTTCAGTGGGGGGGGGGGGGTATAAAAATAAAGACGAAAAACAAGATGCCTTTGTTCACTTTCCTTTCATGGTACTTGTTAACTCACTTCAGACGGGTCACACAACAGTTGCGTGACCCCCGCCGCGACGCTCGCGACGGATCTCACAAGCCTTGCGTGACCAACTTTGGAATTTTTTTTTTCGCTCTACAAATCACGCACGGATCGCGAGACCCGCCTCGTACCCTTGTTTGGCCAAGCCTGAGCTACTTAGACTTCGTTTCGTATCTCTGGGGCCGGTAGTTTTTAAGTTATTGAAGGTGAAGGACAGTGACCCCAACTGGGGTTGAACAGACAGGAACTCGCGCTTTGTTTTTTTCTATACAGCTCATAGTAATCCGACAGTCGCGTCGTAGTAATGGTCGAAGAAGTCGCATGAACAAGAATCACATAATTTCGCCGTTTTATATACTTCTGTGCGTTTTACTAGTTCTAGTGTCTCAGAATATGATGAGTTTAATAGTTAGGATCCTGGATATGTACCCGCGCAACGAAATCACAACGTTGTGCCGTACATCTGTCTCATGTAATTCAGTATATGGGTCTGAATCAATGCACAGACCAGCTTTTATATTTTCACCAAACACTCGCACATGTATGCAAATCAAACCAGAACACTTTGAACTTTTATTTTTGTTGTTGCAGTGAATTTCATTCTACTTGTCACGTCTCTGGAAATTTTTCGGAAAATCAAATTCATGCCAATTTTTTAAAAATCATACAAATTAAAGTATTAGACTTAGACAACTTTAGTTTTTTGTACTAAATTAAGCTTGAATGTTACTTTACTGTGTAAAAAAATGATTACAATAGGGTAATTCTGAGAGTTGTGGTGATTTATTGAAATACCCCCAAAAACTCCAGTCTTCAACGCTTGTGACTGGTGAAAGGGCCCAGTCGCAAGTGAGTTAAGACCCCCCAAAACATAGTGTTTTCTTTGTAAAGGTGGACTTTGCCTATGCACACTGTTGCATGCCTTTTTTACTATTTGACTGCACATACCTTTCAAGTTATGGTTATTGTGTCAGCATTACTTTAGGGTCTATGCATGGGGCAATGGATTTCACATTTGTTAACATCAATGATCAGTGAATTCTTTGGCTGCGACTTCGGGAACTTTTCTTTCTCTCAATTTTGACTGTGAAATATGAGGGTTGGTTGGTTGTTGGGTTGTTTGTTTTGGTGTGGGGGGGTATTAAAATTTGTTATACATACATACCTGTCATAACTGTCAAGTAATTTTTAAAGTGTGGGATCACTTTGACTGTAATGTACATTGAGCATTTCTAGAAAATGGAAAGGCACAGCTTAAATTTTTTATATTATTTATCATTATTAGTACCAGTAGTAGTAGTAGTATGCTCTGTTGGTTTGGTCATGGGGGCAGTCTTTCTTTTTTTCTTTTCATAAGGAATTTTATTAAATGTACAACATTTGTTTTTCTCAAATGTATTTGATGATTTTGCTTTCAGTTGCCCTTGTCATGCATCATTACTCTCTATCATTTTGCAGGCAAATCTTTGAAAACCCCAATGTTGACCAAATCAACACAAGGTTCCAGGTTAAAAAGTGCCTTAAAATCTGCCAGCAAAAAGTTGGACTCAAGGTATGGTACCAATAGCTTTTTAGCTTCTCCTGTCTCAAACCTGTGGGATTCTGGTGTGAAAGACAGAGTTGTAATTTCTTTTCCTTTTACTTGATAAGAGAGCTTTAATGTTTTCAATAAGCAGTCATGCAGTTCTGTTTGGCTTGCTATGAGAAAATGTTGATATTTGCACTTTCTATAGTAAAAGTAAAGGCAATATTCTTTCTTTTCAAGTATGAGTTTAGTGGTCCTTATGTTTTCCCTATTTTTCATGTTGTTAAACACAATTAGTAAAAGAAAACCACACATTAAACTACAGTGGAAACCTGATATAACAGGGATGGTGGGAGTAGAGAAAAGGTCCTGTTATATCCGATCCCTGTTAAATCCGAAATTATGCAAGGAAAGTGAGCATTTGTGGACTAATCTAGCTGTACTTGCTCATGGGTAGTTTCCCTAGCCACAAGCACCCACAAACATGGATTTTGGCACCGAATTTCTCCTTGCGTCCTTAAACCACATCAGAAGAGCTTGGTCCTCAGCATCTGCATCGGTTAGTCTCATCTTCTTTCGATCCAGAGCAAACTTTTCATTGCAGTATGCTGCCACTATCTTCTCTCTATCCTTGATAATGGTGGGAATCGACCCTTGTGGAATGTCGAACTGACAACATATTTCTGCCAGTGGAGCTTGCTTTTTTGTCAACAGTCTGGATTATTTCGTATTTTGTGTCAATTGAAAGGCATTTTCTCTTGCACTTGACATCGTTGGTGATCATAATGAAAGAAGTAGGCTTAGATTTAGGCCGACCGGTCGTCCCCCCCTCCCCCCCCCTCTCTCTCTCTCTCTCTCTCTCTCTCTCTCTCTCTCTCTCTCTCTCTCTCTCTCTCTCTCTCTCTCTCTCTCACACTTTTTACACATTGTTAACGAGCCTTTGTCCCTGCTATAACCGGTTGGGCTCCGATGAGGCCCTGTTATTGCCGATAAAGATTAGGTAAAAAAACGGGGATTTTAAACATCCCTGTTATTACCGGGCCTGTTATATATGGTTTCCACTGTACTCTGTTGCACAAAACTCAATTTTTTGTTAGAAAATTGAGACTTTTCAGTACCATACTTAGGAGAAAAAGTAATGAAAAGACTGCTGGTGCATAAGAGAGAGATGTAATAATAATAATAATAGATAGCATTTTTATAGCGCATATCCCCGCTCAACAGCAGGCTCTATGCGCTTTACCCTATATGTACAAATCAGTACTTGTTTCAACTTGCATACATACCCCATTTACCTCAATCCACCTCTAATCTGGATGAGACCTACATATTTTCTTTTTTGCTTCTGTATTTCTCTTGAAAGGGCTAAAGTAGCCTCAAAGATGCAGTCTCTTCTTGAATATTTTAAGGAAACTCGTCAGTGACAAATCATGGACATTGTATGCTTTTTTTTGTATATCCTTCCCTCAGTGCCCTGGACGACAGTGTTTTTGCCACCCCCGCTCCTCTCAAAGGTTCAAGATTGGCGTCAGATGTTGAGGAAGCAAGAGTCAATTTGGAAAACCTGCTGGTGGAGAGTAACAGCAAAACACCAGGAAGACCTGGGAAAACACCAAAAACTCCTAAAAGGTTAGCTTTTATTTTTGGGTTTGTTTTTTTTTACTATGCACTGACTTTGTTTTGGAGAAAACTTGTAGAATGGGAATCTTTCCTTTCATTGCAGTATTCTACTGAACTTTCAGTAGTATTTTTTTTTTAAATAAATGTTATAGCCTTGTGCTTTTCTTGAAGGGGCTGATTGAATTATTTTAGTTTTGATAAGACAGTTAACAAAGCCTCAGTAGGTTGTGAATTGAAATCGAATCATTTACTTCCTATGTTTTTTGCAAAGGTTAACGTAAACGCACACTCTGTGTAAACATACGATTAGGAGCCCTCCAGAGCATCTTGCTTTTAGACAAAAACTACTGTAATTAAGACCCACAGGACTCTGGCAGAAGGTGGAATAGAACACATTAACATATCTACACAGTTAGTTACACATGTATGGTTTTTAGTAAGGTGTATCGTCTCAGCCTTTTTTCTCCCTTATTCTTTACTTTACCCATTTCAGTGCAGCTGCACAAATAATATGCAAAACGACCTATTTGTGTTTACAGCGAGCCATGGAGGTAAACTTACAAAAATACACAAAGAAATCTGTAGTCTTCTCTTTTTTGTCTTCAAAATCAATAGTAGGCCTGTGAAGCTTTGATTTTCATAGTTTTCATTAGCACACATATTTTTCTCTTCCCCCTCCCCTGATTCAAGATTCCATGCCTCCTGTTATTCAGCTTCATTTTCATAGATGGTAATGATTTTATCACGATGTAACACATCTTGTTTACTGTAACATTATATCAGTATTAATTCCCCTTTTCCTTCTTTGTCAACAGGCCGCTGCACAGCATTCAGGATCCTGCTTTCACTGGCTGATGTCTCCTACAACTTGTCCCATGCTATTATTGTTACTTACTATGTCTAGATCATTCATTCTACTCTTGTACGCGCACTCACTTACATTTATTAAATTGTAACATTTGGCTCATTAGAAAATGGAATAAATGCAATTGTATGCTTTTAATGGGAGATGTACATGATACGAGGAAAATTCTAGGGGTTTGACTTTCTTTCAATTTTTAAAGGTGATATAGGTTGATTATCGACTAATTAGAAGAATTAGGACGGAATTTTTAAAGTTTTATGAAAAAGATGGTCTCCGTGGCAGACATCTTGGATTTTTTGCCATGTTGCGAGGACAGACGTTTTCCACAGAAAATACTGGAATATAAGCCTCAAACTTGGCACACAAATACACAAACCTGGTTGATCGGCTGTGTCCGCCCGGCTGTTTGTTCCGTAAATTATTATTTGAAATGCGGCATTTTAGCCCAATGTTGACCGTCAGAGTGAATCAGAACAGGATCTTATGGGTCACTTTAGTATAGTATATTTCTGTTTTCTTAAATTAAAACAGAGGGGGATCGTACACGGAGAGATCTTAGGCGGAGACTAAATCATAAGATGTAATCCTCATTTTTCTACTTACTAACTTTCAAATTTGATGACGATCGTGTAACAAATAAACTGTCAAGAGCTTTTTTTCAAATTTCACTAGAGTTGGAACAACTGATACAGTGTGTGTGCGGGTGTGTTTATGTGTATGTGTATATATATACGTTCACCCATGTGGTTCCCGGGGCCCTGTCCAAGAGACAGAGGAGCAAAGAATAGGACGACTGTATACGTACCGCGCATGTCGTGGAAGGCGACTAAGGTCGGTTGGGCAAAGGATTAGCAACCCTTTCCCGTAAAACAAAAAGCAGCTACAAAAACATCAACAGCAAAGACAACACGACCGCCAGCTCTGAAGGATGGAGGACCTTCATCACCGAGGAGAGGAGAGAATATGGAGTGTAGAATGACAGGGTGATGAAAGCCGAAAGGAACCCACCAAGCCGAGAAACCTCCTGTCGACCATGATATGGAGGCGAGTGGTATGCGGGAATGGAAGAGGCGGGGGCATCATAGAAACAGCTAGAAAAGGATGCACAGGACAGGCTTCAGAAATGTTGATGACCTATGCTCCACTGGGAGTTGGAAAGGGCAAGACACATGTATATACAATGTATAGGGCAAGAGATAGAGAGAGAGAGATATCTATATATGTGAGGCGTGCTGACAAAATGAGTTACTTCTCGCAATCCACAAATGGAGATATTGGCAAAAACTCAACACCTAGGTCAAATTAGTAGACCCTCTATTGATGCTCTTCTTTTTTTATGTATAACTTGCCTCTCATTATTTCATTCTTATAAATTCTAAAACTTCACTTATAAGCATGGCGTTTCTATTTCCAAAGGCTTGAATCCGAGAAGTAACTCATTTTGTCAGCACACTTCACATATATATATATCGCTGGTGGAGTGATGAAACCTCGTAACCCTCAATTTTTTCTAAATTCGTTTTTTTTTTTTTTTTGGCTTAATGTCTTCTCCCAGTCCTTCTTCACATTGTGTCAAAAGCACTAGCTCATATTAGTAAGAGAAAGTATGAAAAATACTTAATAAGAAAACCTTGTATGTTTGCACCCATGATATCCTGGCGTGATGAAACCTCGCAACCCTCACCTGGTGCGCCGATCTGCTTTTGCGTGGTTTCATCACTCCAGGTTTGAGAGAGCGGCGTGCTTATACGAGGTTCTGGACAAGTCTTCTATATGAACCGGCTTAATTGAAGCGCTCATAACTGACATTGTCTGGTGGATTTAATGTATCTGACGGAATAAAGAAATATTTCATTCCTTCATTCATCCATACGTTCATTCATTCTTTTATTCATTCACTTTATTTCAGTCAGTTCAGAAGTTCAAATATGGTCATACGTGAAGTACTTACATTGTGTAAATCTATTAAAAATCCTTTCATAAGGATGACTAACTCGCTGATAATCAAGATGTTCTGATCGAGCACAAACGTAGTTAACATTTAAGTTAAGGCAACAGTCACACCTTGAAATGGCAGGTGACGGTAGTCCTTACTTAGACTAGGTGACAGATCTGTGCACTCTCCAGATGTCAACAGGCCATTCTGTTTATCAAAGAGAGGGTAAGGTTTTGCATCTTCTCAGACTATGAATCCGCTGTGTAGTCAAATCCTCCAGTTGTGGTTGAGACCGAATAGTATTGAACTTAACCATGGTCTTGATGACTCTGAAATCTGTAGAGGACATTGTGACAAATTTGTGCCTCAACAACACAAGTAATACGGACATTTCCGAATCTGTATTGAATATCTCCTTCTGTGCTCATCACCTAGATCTTTATACCCTACAAAGGCTGGTTCGGAAACCACTGAGCAGACCACGTTCATTGACTTGACCCCAGCCACCATGTCGCAGTCCTTTCCAGGGCTGTCACTGATATGTGGAGACAAGGAAGTATCAGCATCATCTCAGACTGAGTCTGCACCAACAATAGTGTCGCCTGGAATCATACCCCAAACCATACTGACGTTTCACCAGACAGCTGTAAGTCAGATGCTGAATTATTACCTTCGAGGTCACAGCAACACAATCTGTAGACCATATTTAGGCACCTTAGCCACTTTTCCTAAAGCCTGATCCCGAGAGACAGCTCATTTGTTAAAATTGTTAGGCCAGCATAAATGATGCTCCACAGAGGAAAAGAAAGGGTTTTAAGGAGTTGCAACAAATAAGCGAAAAGCTATCCGTGGATCGGGACAAGATCGGAATACATAATGGTTCAATGAAAAGCCCAGGTAAGTTATCGAAACCAATCTGTGATTGCAAGAGCTGGACTGTGAAATATAAAGGGCTCTCTGAAGTTGATAGACATTCTCATTTTGATTAAGTGTGGACCCTCTCATGGGATGACTAGTGGACATCGGAGGAGGTATTCAGAGACTAACCAGAGACGGAATACCCTCAATAAACACTTTTAAAAGGTGGCCATAAGGTGCCATTGTGTTAAAAGGTGTTCCTGAATTGAACTGGGTTGGATGAATGATTTGTAAGAAATATTTAGAACCAATAATTATCAAAGTAACTCGGATATCTACAAAATATATGCACAAGTCTGCCAAGACCACGGGAGGCGGCCTCTCAAAAGACCCGCCCTCGATGAAGCTTTCAAGCAGAATAACGTGTCGCTGTTCCTGTCAAAGATAGATATGCATCAGTCGAGAATTTGACAAAGTGCTGGAGGATCTTTGGAATGCTCACATTCTAGAAAAGGAGGCAGCGCGCAAAGAAAAGGAACGAGATAAATCAGAACCATCAAATCTCTCGCCAGTAATGAACCTAGAACGGCCGTACTTTCAATGGATCTTCAGCATCGGCCTTATATTACAAAACAAAACTCGCCGTTCATAACTTTACGCAATTGGATGCTGCAACACGCCAGACTACTTGTTACGTGTGTGATGAAGCAAAATGGGGACTTAAGACAAATGAGTTTGCTTCATGTCAATTGGATTTCCTGAAAGAAAAGCTGGACCTCCAGAAAACCATCATCGACAGCGACAACTGTGGTTACCAATACAGAAATGCCACACTGGCCAATGTTTCTCTAAGCCTGTTTTCAACAACAAAAGGAAGCACAATTGAACAAAAACATTTTATCAAAGGACACACACAAATGGAAATTAACAGTGTGAACTCAACTATTAAGAGATCGCTTCAAAAAACACGCATCGAGGTCCTCCAAGACTACCTCCATTTCTTCAGGACGGCAAGAGCAAAACAAGAAACTTATCAAAACAAATAGTTGGATCACACATTCTTCAAGGAATATTCTAAGTGTAGAAGCTACGACAAGTCTATATGACTAGGTAGAAAAACGGGTGATCCTGTTGTCACCGACATCAGGTGTTTGAAGTACACCTCAAACATGAACATCCTCATCCAGTTCAAGCCGCACCTCAGTGATGAATGGGCTGACGTTCCGAAGGCAGGACACAGAAACATATTAATAAGGTCCACCCTACCTCACAACTCTACACAAAACGTTTTAAGTTCCAGCACTTCAAATACAATCACATAGAGGTGCTTAAATCTGTTATTTCCAATATATGCATCGTCACTTTATGACAATTACTACCATTAACATTTATGGCTGTTCATTATGATTCAACATCTCTTATGAAAACCATCTGTAGTGCAAACAGAGACCACATGGCAGAGATTTATAATTGATTTTTTTGTGCTCTTTAGTAAAAACTGGAAGTAACCAGATCTAATATTGGCAAATTATAGTGAAACAAATTGCATTCATTGCAATCCGTTTGCGGATTCAAACATAAATTCTGCAGGTAACACACTTTTATTTGACTTCAGTTGGCCGGGAATCAAACTCCAAACTAATTGGTCTTGAAAAAACATCTTTATCACTTTGTGGCGTTTCAAACAACAGACGCATATTGCAACCAAAATGAGCAGAGAGAAAACTCGCAACCCCCAAACTCTGTCCTGATGAAACCTCGTAACCCACCCGCCGGCTGACTACGAGGTTTCATAACGACAAAAATGTTGTAATGAAACCTCGCATCCCACAGCGTAACCCCATAAACTATAGAAAAGTTATTTTTATGTACTAACCACGTTTCTAATGTGTTTTCATTTATCTGTACCAGCTTTGGTTCATATTGATCATTTTATTCAAGAGTAAATCAGTTTTTTGTCTCTCCTGTAACATTTTCCTTTCTGGGGTTACGACGAGGTTTCATCACTCCACCAGCGATATATATCTTGCCCTTTCCAACTCCCAGTGGAGCATAGGCCATCAACATATATATATATATATGTATGTATACGTTGCATGTATATTAATATTATGCATATATACCATGTATACATAAATAATATATCAGTGTCTGTGGTGTAGCGGTTATGTGCTTTTCCGTCGCCCGCAGAAGACCCACGTCTGATTCCCAAGTAGGCTAGAGAGAATTTTTAAAGGGTATCTCGGTCTTTCTTCTGGGATGTTGTTTCCTAATCAGCCCATGTTGGCCCTGATAGTGATAAGCAGGATCGAGAGTTTGCCTTCTAAATGATCCAAGTTGTGTTAATGGAGGTGTAAAACACCTATCTTTCAAAATGTATGTATAATATAGAAAGACACGTACACATACACACACACGCACAAACAGAGAGAAAGGGAAAGAGAGAGAGAGAGAGATGTTTGTTTTTGAGGAGGTTTTACGGCGCTTGCAACTGCATAAGGTCATATGAGCGCCAGAAGATTAGAGGTGTTACAAGAGAGTAACAACAAACATAAAAAAGAAGAAGGGGAGATAATGACGATAGATGTTTGACAGAAAAAAGAAGCAGAGCACCCGCTAGAGAGAGAGAAAAGGTACAGCGTAATGGTAGAGAGAGGGAGTGGGGACGGACTCAAGTAAAATCCTCCCATTTCTCCGTTTCAACTCTCCTTCTTTGAAGCACCCGCTGTTTCTACAGAGCAACGTTTCGTTAGGTTTAGCTCACTAACACAGTGAGAACATAATATAATACTCTATTGAGATCAGAATGATGAGAAAAAAACAACAACCTGAACCAGGGCTGCTTTGTAGTGTAAGCTATTTAGTTTCCATTTAAAGGCATGGTCACTTTTCCTAAAGAGTCCCGATCCGTCATTCCATATGTTTTCTTTTACTCATCCGCACCCCATGTCACCCTACCATGGAACATAACCGGACATTGAATGCATCTGGAATGCCCCTCGAACGTTTGTACATATACGAAGGCCTCTTATTGAGGACCCAAAAGTGACACCGTTTTTCTGATAAGTCATACTCATACTGTACAATCTATTGCAAAAATGATCTACAGTATGCACATGTCATGTCAGAGTCTGACCAGCTTGCAGGACAAACTGTTACGTTAGGTCGTAGGTCTCTTGACTTGAATATCTGTCGAATTCAATTGATTGTTGTAAACCACTTCACACGGGTGCATCTGATCTTTAGTGGATTGCATCAATGAGCTGAGCTTGCCCCCGAGGTGTGAAGTTTTTCTATACCGAGCAATCATAGACAACTACCGTAGGACAGTATTGTTAACCCTCTCATGCTGTCCGCCCACCATACTTGGCGGAGCACCATAGATACATGTATAATTATGTGGAGCACAGGCTTTATAAATTGCTTTGTCGTCTCATATCATTATCATGTCCCTATGTCTTTTTCTCCCGCAAATTAAAGTTAGAAAGGAGGGCGTATGGCGTTTGCTTCCCACCCTTCCATATATATGCTCCAAACATGATGTTATAGCTGATCAGTTTCAAAATTTACTAACACAGGAATGATCATGCTGTTGTTAGATGAAGTTTTCAATTTGAAATGTGCACTTGTGAGTGAGACTGTAACTGTAATAGAAAAAAAATCAGTTCCACACTGACAGCATTTTTTAAGGCAGATCATGCTTTTACCCGGTGTGCTATTATTACAGTATTAGCCAGAGACTAACTTAGCTAACGTTGTCATATGTTGTTGTTAAATCAACAGTGTAAAGTATCGTGACGGCACCCTCCTCCTATTCCTTTAGTGTCACAGACCTCTCTGGTCTGATGGCCAAATGCTGTTTACAAAGTGGACTGGCGAGCACAAGAACAACATCATCTTGTCAGCCGTGCTAATTTTAATTTAGATTGTAAGTGTTTTTACGCTCCCTTCAACACAATTTAGATCATTTGGAAGACATTCTTCGACCCTGCCAGGAGTAAACCTACTGAGAGGGATACAAAAGAAAGACCAAGATACTCGCTAAGAATTCACCTTGCTCAGGAATCGAACTAGGATCTCCTGCAAACAATGGTTAAGCACCTACATGCTACACAACAAACGCCAGCTCAAGGTAGCCTACTTTTTGGCCGCATTTTCTGGCCTGCAGAGGAACAATTAGCATTACAATATAAATTACATGTAGTAGCCTACTAGAAGTAGTAACATGTGCCACCGTTACTACAGGATAAGTCATAAATCTTTTTTTTAAAGAAATAATCATAGTAAAAATGTAGTTCATCACAGCACAAAGTAGGCTACAAGTCCATATGACACAGCAGTCATGGATGGGTACGCCTATTACATGCACATGTACCGCAGTTGGTATCACGCTGGATTATAATGTACATGTGTCATGTAGTAGGAGCACTTGAATTTGAGTTGGGTGGAATTCTCCCCAGTGTTTTTGTTAATGTGTTTTTTCAAGGCTTCCACTGTTTTGCTCATTACTATCTAAAGGGGATGTAAATTCGCAAGGGGACGTTCAAATATAATCTTACGTCCTGGAAGGGGTGTGTGTGTGTGGGGGGGGGGGGGGGGGGGGGGGGGGAGCTTTTGTTCCTCCCAAAGAAAAGTGTAAGATGGGGGTTGGGGGTGGGGTGTCTTGAACCAATGCAATATTGCACTTTTTCGGTCCCGGGGGGGGTTTTTTTTTAAAATTCCACTGAAATTTGTTTTATTTGTAATTAAGGGGGGGTTTTGGTGTATATTGTCAGGGGGAAATTTTTTAGCCCTTTTTTTACAACCCAATGCAACTTTTCTTTTTCCCCGGTTTTTCTTTTTTTAATTGCCCCTTTTTTTTTCCCCGGTTGGGGGAGGGGGGTGTAAGAGGCAAATGTAAGTTAAGTGTAAGATTAAGAAAAAGGGGGGGGGCTAAAAGGTGTATGATTAGATCTTTGAACAACCACTAAGTCCCACCTTATGACTAGTCTTTCAGTTTTCGGTGTTTCAAGTTAAAAGGATGTTTTAAACTACAATGTATTACCATGCCAACAACTTAAAAGTCGTGACTACCAGTCGAACACGGGCATCTGTGGTGTAGTGCAATGGTCAGGCATTTTGCCGCCGGTCACACGAGACCGACCTGAGTTTGATTCCCGAGTGGGGAGAATCTTTGTTGAGTATCTTGGTCGTTCTGCTGAGGATGTTGTAGCTGTATTCATCTCTGCCCATTAAAAAAACAATTATAATAATTGAAGCTACTCTAACGATCACCTGCCTCAAACAATCACTTGTACAAACGACCCCCCCCCCCCCTTGCGCGTTTTTCTCTTATTCATGATACAAGTTTAATGACACCGTCCATAAGCGCCACGTGTCTAAGATGGCTACTTCCCCCTCCTCATTAGGCGGTCATCTTGGACAGGATCGACTGCAGTTTATAGGGTCATCCTATCCATAGATGGATTTCAAAAAAAGAAAAAGTAATAATAAAAAAGGGAACCATCAGACTGAAAGGGAAGGTTGAGTTTTGTTTCAGGTACCGGTACATCACGTATGCATTCAGGCTTTGATTCATTATAGTGCACCGGTAATTAAGTTACTCCTAACTCAACGTTAAAACTACTAAAATAACGGTGAAACTCATTTTAAGAAAGTAACCCAATACGTGTTTACTAGCTATCACTTAGCATTTCTTCATGCAAAACGTCATATACCACGTACGTACAGGTACATGTATTTCGCAGCCATGACACGAAATAAACAAGTGTGGATGTTTTTGCTTTTGGGTGTTGTTGTTTTTTTGGGGTTTTTTTTAGGAGGGGCATTGGTTGGTCCTACTTCTTTCCTTTCTCTTTGTTGGTTCTGTTTGTCGTACATTTTCCCAGCACTAGATGACCATTACTGCGTCGATGTGCCTCTTTCTACTCAAACAAACGAAATTTAATAATTAGTTCAAATCTTAACAGCAGAGTAATAATACATGAAAATACATAATTGTGCATAATGAATCAAATACATGTACATAATACTACAAAATGTAGTGTGTTAAGTGTTCCCAGGCGCAGAACATATTAATAGAATGGTGTTATTGAAACGTTGTGTTAACTCGAAAGTCCGGTCTACATTACACATGGAATCTTACACTACTCTCGCTTGTAATTGAAAAAAAATGTTGCTCACACTCATGCCATACTGTTGCGTCCCGAGTTTATTTTTGTAGTTCACCATGAACTTTGACGTCCTTTATGGAACTATGTTATACACATGCAGCCTGCTTTATAGACGGAGATTGAGTTTTCTTGCACTACAACTAATGATTAACAAATGGAACACTTATTACATATGTATATAGATTAGCCATCAGTTTTGTATTCTTTCTTTTCCATTTATGTTATTTGCTCCTAATTCTTATCTTTTTTTCTGGTAGGCCTACAAGCCCTATAGTCTCACATGCATATGGAGGTTGACTAGACATCATTTGCGACGCACAGAGGTAGCTGATGTTTGCGTTTGAGTAAATTTAAGAAGCACATCGGCACAATAATGTTCATCGATTTGGCGAACGCCATGCTCTACAGCATGCGCTTTTTTTTTTACAGCTCTTGTATTTTTTTAAAAGCTACCTAGAATCTACACGTAGATCTAAAATGCATCAACATTCCCTCAATACTTTTGAATGAATTCCAAAACGTGTCTTTTTAAGGGAAAAAAATCGCGCACTAGCACGTTTTTAAATGTCACCATAGCAACGGCGGTTGTAGCGGGGAATGACCTCAGGAATATATCTTTCAATTTCAAGTTCGTATTTTTTCATTTAAGCATTGTAACTGATTTTTTTTTTTTTGCTTAAAGAAAAAAGACGAACTTCTGTGTACAGCACGGCTCTTGCTAATTGACACTGTATTTCACTGAAGAGACGTGATGATAAAATGTTTTCCAGGTCTTCTACGAGGATGAAAGTGGAAGAGCGAATGGTGGTGTTCCCTGGTGTGGTGAGTTTATAAAAAATCAATGGCCTACACTCCTCGACAATAAATTTTCTTGGACAAAAAAAGGCTTAAAAATAAAAAGGGGTGTATTTGCTTTTTCCCATCGTGGTATTCAGATGCTACCTGGAGGGAGTTTATTGTCTTAACGTTGACGACGACGACCTTAGAATTAATTATTTATTATGTTGTACTATTCACTGCGAACTGCGTACCTCAAATCCGTTCATTGTCCCGTCCTCATTTGACCCGAGAACAAGAAAGCTTGAGGTCAGAGGCCAAAAGGTTTCAGATTCTAGAGCATCATGGGATAGACTGAGTGAGGGCATGTAATGAGATGACGTCATTAAATTCCCACAATTCACAGGGAGCAATGGCTGCCTTGTCCGATCAATAGTGTAGTCTGCTTGCTCTTGAATGGATCTTTGTCGACAAAGTCCGTGATATACTCCATTTGAACTAAGTATAGTGATAAAGGGTGCACATTTGAAAGCTTATAGTTCTTTGCTGTTGTTTTAAGGGAGTATTCGGAACAATACGGCTGAAGTTATTGCGTTCCAGATCAAACCTCTATGTCGGCGCAGCGCTTCCTGTTTTTCTGAGCAGTTGGAGCTCTGCCTGTGTTTAGCAAGCTCGCAGTGACATCATCTATTAATGCCACTGTAGGGCTGTTTGTATTTCAGGTGAGTGGCAATTATATCATGGCTATTGAAGCTAGGTCTATATTTGAACCTGCCAAAGCGTCTGGTTTGAATCCACACCATTCTAGCTTTTGTACTGTTATTGTCTGCTTTCTTGTCTGTGGGGAGCAGGAATAAAAAAATCTGACGCATTGCCTGGCCATTGCTGCTATGATGATGAGTAGGCCTAACAAAACTCCACAGAGTTCAAAGGCAGAGGAGAAACTGTTGCTGTTATTCGACCGGGATAAGCGAGGAGCATTAGCTTGTGTTTTCTTGTTGGGACATTGATTGAGATCGAGATCTTTATATTTCTAGCTCAAGTGCCTTCTCTCAAACAGCCTAGATCTAGATCTAGATCTAGATCTAGATTTCTAGATGGAAGTGGCTATTCTCATCCGGGGTGAGAATAGAAAAACGATCTAGAATATAGATCTACCTCTCACCCCGGGTGAGACTTGCCAGCGTAGGCTATTCTCACCCGGTGCGAAACAAGACCCGCTTTTCCTCATTTTGGAATACTGTCTATCGGTGTGGAGGATCAAATTGATAAAAGCCAAGAAAAAATTACATTATAGCACAAAAGTAAGCTAATTTGATCGTCTTCAAAGATGCTATGGCTATTTCACTGTTCGAATCGAGCCGAACTACGTGGGTCGCCATTTTGTTTTGCCAGGAAGTTCTCACAAGATCTACTCCTCCCCTCTCTCTCTCTCTCTGTCTCTTTCTGAATACTGTCTATCGGTGTGGACGATCAAATTGACCAAAACAAAGTTAAAAAATGGTGTTAAAACACAAAAGTAAATTAATTTGATTGTCTACAAAGATGCTACGGCTATTTAACTTTTCGAATCGAGCCGAACTACGCGGGTTGCCATTTTGTTTTGACGGGAAGTTCTCGCGCTACTCCTCTCTCTCTCTCTTTCTCTCTCTCTCTTTCTCTCTCTCTCTTTCTCTCTCTCTCTCTCTCTCTCTCTCTCTCTCTCTCTCCACTACCCACAGACAAAATTGTACGCTTTTAGTAGGCTACAGTTGTAATGGAACGTTTGTTCACGGCACAGAATTCTACAATTTTTCTGTTTTCAGAGTGTAGAATTCTGTGGTTTAAGGTGAACGCAAAATTTGTTGGCCAAGATCTAGGCTATAACGGTGAACGCGCACCGGGTGAGAATAGCCAAAAGACTCGCCTGCACTATTCTCATCCCGGGTGAGAATAGAGGTGGCCTTTCTAGATCTAGAATCAAGTCAGTGCAGCATGCCAGTGGAATTGACATTGTGTCATAGTAACAGCAACAGTAGAATCTAGATTAGTCTAATCTGTAGACTAGTGAGTAGATCTAGATATCTAGATCTAGCAACCCACACACTATAAAATCACTAGAATTCTAGATGGAAGTGGCTATTCTCACCCGGGGTGAGAATAAAAGGAAGTGGCTATTCTCACCCGGGGTGAGAATAGAAATACGATCGACCTCTCACCTCGGGTGAGACTTGCCACCGTAGGCTATTCTCACTCGGTGTGAAACAAGACCTGTTCTTCCTATCGATGTGGATGATCAAATGGATAAAGGCAAAGAAAAGATTACGTTATAGCAGCTCACAAAAGTAAGCTAATTTTATCGACTACAAAGATGCTATGGCTATTTCACTTTTCGAATCGAGCCGAACTACAGGGGTCGCCATTTTGTTTTGCCCGGAAGTTCTCGGAAGATCTAGGCCTACTCCTCCCCTCTTCTCTCTCTCAATTTCTTAAGACTCTTTCTGAATACTGTCTATCGGTGTGGACGATCAAATTGACCAAAACAAAGTTTAAAAATGATGTTAAAACACAAAAGTAAATTAATTTGGTCGATAGACAGTATTCCAAAATGAGGAAAAACAGGTCTTGTTTCACACCGGCTGAGGATAGCCTACGCTGGCAAGTCTCACCCGGGGTGAGAGGTAGATCGTATTTTTATTCTGGCCACCTCTATTTTCACCCCAGGTGAGAATAGTGCAGGCGAGTCTTTTGGCTATTCTCACCCGGTGTGCGTTCACAGTTATAGCCTGGATCTAGGCCAACCAATTTTGCTTTCACCCTAAACCACAGAATTCTACACTGTGATAACAGAAAAATTGTAGAATTCTGTGCCGTGAACAAACGTTCCATTACTACTGTTAGCCTACTAAAAGTTAGTAAAAGCGTACAATTTTGTCTGTGGGCAGTGGAGAGAGAGAGAGAGAGAGGAGTTGCGCGAGAACTTTCGGGCAAAACAAAATGGCGACCCGCGTAGTTCGGCTCGGTTCGAAAAGTTAAATAGCCATAGCATCATTTTATTATGTCTGCTTTGAGTGGTGACCTACTTTAACTGTTACTAAAAATAGATTGCACACACAATTTTTTATGAAACTGACAAACATAAAGAAGGGAAAAAAAGTATGATCAGATTGACCCAAAAATTTATTGAAAAGAATGTCCATTTCTGCTCATGACAGACAAAGAATGAATAATTTAGGACCCATTTATATATGAACACTTTGGTGGCACATGGAAAATTACATGTATTTTGGTGATAATTGTTACCGAAAATATAATTTTCACAAAATTCTCTGATTACTCCCATTGTGCCAAGATTAGGCTATGACATTTCTACAAAAACATTCAAATCACATTATTTGACAATAAAAGAAGAGAATTCATCATCTAAAAGGTTTATAAACCAACTGTGATGCTAGAAAAATTAAAACTTGAGTTGAAAAATAGTGACAAAAACATTTGTGCATACATATTTCCACCCAGAATATAATGTCATTGAATACAAAAACGTCACTCATACTCATTAGCTGGATGATCTAGAAGACAGTTTCTTGTGCTACTAAAACAGAAGTTTTTTCCACACTTGTTACATTTGACACTAGACTTTCTCTCAACTTTCTCAAGACGATAACAACGAAAACAATTTCTGCGCTAGAGATGGACGAGTCTCTTTCATTGCTGCAAGGTTGGCCTACTCGTAGCTGTATGTGCAGATCTGCAACACAAATGCCTCCATTCGAAAGAGAGAAGAAAGCACCTGTTGGAAAATAGATACACAAGAAAGAATTGATGATAAAATCCATCCATGATAAGAGATGTTTATATATGATAAGATAAATTTGATGGATCCACGAGAGAAATTTTAGGTGGATATATAGGCTATACCAACGTTATATCAACATACAAAATTCAGCAACAACACAGCAAAGTACACATTACAAATTATACTACGCATGCACCAATGCACCATTCAATCAGACAAATGTACACACACAGTAGGCCTACATCTGTGCAGGATTAACCTTTCTCTTCGTCTTGCTCATTCTTTTATCCTCTCCCCCCCCCTCTGTTTCTCTCTTCCTCTCATGCAAGAGCACACACACACACAAATACACACACACACACACAAACTCTCAAACACACACACAAACTCTCAAACACACACACACACACTCTCAAACACACACACACACACACAGTGTTCAACAGTGCAACAGTTAATTTTGAACATAACAGACATCCCAATTTGTCCGTAAATTCTTGTTACAGCTAAAGTAAATGAATAGAGTCAAGCAAAGCATATGAATTGTTTCATTATTTGAGAAAAAAAGCCTGAGCATTAGCAATATCTACTGATTTTTTATAGTCTTGTTGTAAAAAATAAGGATTATAAAAATACAGATCGACCGGGGAAAAAATTCACCTGGTGTCAGATATTTCCGCATCTTGTTTGGTCCGGTCTTCATCGAGATGCAGGCCTGGCCGCAGCATCGGCTTGAACTTGGGTACCTTGCATCGTCCGCATCACGTTACGCACCAATGAAGTCACCCCTGTCGGAAAATGCACAGGAACAAGGCATGTTAGAACAAGTCCAGCAAGACTTTTTTGTCCACCACTCCAATCATACCACTCTCCGATTGTCAGACTCAGTTTACAAAAATGACAACTCACAACTCGCCTGAGCTGAGGCCACATAGATCTAAATAAATTATTCCCTTGTTCACATAAAAATTAAAAATTGATGATACATTTAAATTGAAACAAATAATAACAAACTGCAGTAGATAGCAAACATTATCAATCAGTTGTAATGTTGAAAACTAAGAGAATCGTCTCAGGATCCGGCATTTTGAACGTAAACAAGCAGCTAGCAACCGCACCTTGGGTAAAAAAAAAATGCCAAAAAAATAATAAAAGCGAGAAAAACTTGTCAAATTTAACCAATTTCATAAGAAAACACCAAATTTTAATCATTTATACAATAAAACACACGTTTTAGTACCCACCGCAGGCCAATATTAGGTTTCGATAGGTCTAGCTGTTCATAGATGCTCAGTGCAATCATCACTTGACTTACCCGTTGGCAGTTGGCTGCACCACTTGGTCCTGGTTGAGGACTTGCTACGTCATTGTCAGATTCTTTATCTGATTCAGTCTCTGTCATCTATAGAAAACTCACTAAATGAGTCATCCAGACCATAATCGGGGTCAGAATCGAACATTTTACAATTTTACTTGAAAACTTGTTAGTTTTTTGTGAAGTCAGTCGAGCAGCTGTTCTTTGTTTACAAAATGGAGGCGAAGGAAACGAAAGTAGTCGAAAAATTGAGGTAATTATCCCTGCACCTCTAACGGCTAACTCTTTCAAAAAAGGAGTTACAAATTGTGTATTTATAAAAGTTTAGCCATTCCTTTACCGAAATAAACCACATAGCAGACTCTAGGCAAATTATTATAGCGACAGCCGGCTTCGCTCAGGGCCCACCGGCGATCGACCGATCGGTCGATATACAATTAAGGGCGTGAACTCGAGAGCGTTAATATCCAGTTACTAGATCTATCTGAACTGGCCCTCCCTGCATCTTTTGTATGAACAGAAAAGCCAAGTTGATTTGACATTACCGGGGGCAAAGTTAATTATGTAGACCAATGAGATTGCTCATAGTGATCACGCTGTCTCGGCTTGCTGGGGGAAGAGGTGTTCAGAAGAGGCCATGGCTGTCGATTTTGTGCTATGTGATTTTTAAAAGAAATTAATTTCGGAAAAAAACTAACACAACAAAATAAAATTAAACATCGGGAAAGACAAATGGTGGTGGAAGTAATGATGATGTTGTAGTGGTGATGGAAAGACCCTGAGTTGTCGGTTACCGTGTACTTAACTTAACTGGCATTGAGCAATGAGAGTGTAGTCTTTTGACTTTTGACACAATTACACAGTCCTAGTAGGTAATTCTAGTTTTAATTCTGGTTTTACATAAAATCCCCTGACAACAGTTAGGCTATATTATATATGTAACCTCTTTACACTCACATAAGTCACTTAAAAGCAGAGTTTGAATATGAAATCTAGGTCAGATCTCGTTTACTTCATATAATCAATGGCCATCAAAATCATATATTATGAGACTTAGAATTGATCTATAGGATAGGCTTTCCCTTTAGACTTTTTGGAGGAATTCTGTAAGGAGCGATCACTATGAAATCTAGGTTAGATCTTGTTTACTTCATATAATCAATGACCATCAAAATCATATATTATGAGACTCAGAATTCATAATAATTTTCATTTATAGTTCCTACAGTGGGGGTAGGCTCTTAACCCCCCCCCACCCCCCACCCCCCCGGATCAGGGTTAAGGTTAACCTAGTGCTAGGTTTGGGTTAAGGCAAAGTTTATTTAGTCTAGTTCTAGTTTCGAGCTAGGATTAGAGTTAGGGAAATCGTTTATGGTTAGAGCTAGGGAGGGTTAGAGTTAGGGTTAGGATTATAATCTAGGTTTCTAAGTGATCGCTCTTTACGGAAGGCCTTCTCTTTTATATTTTGTATCACTTGATGGTTGAATCCAATTTTTGTTTCGCAGTGGCTATTTTTACGGCGAGCCGTAAAGATAGCCTCCCAGGCTATTTTTACGGCGTGCCGTAAAGATAGCCTCCCAGTGAGTCCCAGGCTATTTTTACGGCGATCCTTGAAAAGCGACCCTACTCCGCCTCTCATGTACGCGACATGCCTCAATGACAATGTATTAGATCTAGGCCTATAGGGGCCGTTCAAAATATAAACTTACACCTCAGAGGGGAAAGGGTGTCTTTGGATTCTGTAAGAAAAGTGGAAGATTGGGTGAGGATGTTAACCAAATATGACACTTTTGTGAGATGAACGTTTTGCTCATGACTGGGAAGAAAAGGTAAAAGAAAAAGTGGATAAATGCCAGTAACAAGACCCAGATCTGCATGATCACTGCAGATCCCCGTTGTTGTTTTTTTTGCTTTTTGTTGTTGTTTTTTTTGCTTTTTGTTGTTGTTGTTTTTTGCTTTTTGTTGTTGTTGTTTTTTTAGGGGAGGGGGGGTACAAATAATTTTGAAATTATGATGAAAATTCTGTAGGTGGACATCTAATTTCTTAATGTTTCTTTGTAACTTTGCAACTGTTTTGTTGATCTTTTAATGTCTTGATGTCTTTTATTTGTAAGGCACGTACCTATTGCATTGACAACAGTCTCAAAGTCTTCCACATATATGCGTTTCTTTTTAGTCCATATGGTTTGATTAAATTGTATTCTGCCTTGGCATTGAACTGTAGTCTACACAGTCACTTACTGTTCATGCCACATACTTAAAATCAATATATATGGTATTATGCCTCTACTGGCTCTACAGAGAGTATTTTGGACTAAGTTTCTCTTCCCTCCTCTGTTTTCACATAATGAACAACATTTGTTTTAATATACCAAGCAATTATAGAGTAATGTTGTATAAGTTGGACTTAAATTAATTTCATGAGAATGTGAGAATACGATTATGTTGCTTTCTATAATTGTTGTTCCTGTGGGTGACGCTCTTCATTTTTACTTTCATTCTCTTACAGACACCAATATCTTCCTTGGATTTGGTGAAAAGACAATAAACAACCATGGCGGGGGAAAACGAATGCAACATCAAAGTCATATGCCGTGTTCGGCCTCTGAATCAGTCAGAGGAGAGGACTGGCAGCAAGTTTGTTCTCAAATTTCCCTCAGAGGAGTCCATTGGTATCGGGGTGAGTGTCATTAGTTTTTGTTGTCTTCGATTTGAAGGATTAAGGCAGACATTTTTGGAGACACCTGTTCTTACTTTTGTGCTGTCTTAGTGCTTCAGATGTCTAAGTAAGTCGCAGTTTGTCCGTGATGTTTAAAGAAAATGCTGCTTTTAGATTACTTTTTTTTTACTACAATAAAGCCATTCTCAAAACAGTGGGTTAAAAATGTGGAACAGAATTATTTTAAACAGTTGACGATTATGGCCATCATTTGAATACTATGGTATCAAACTTTCAGGCAAGAAAATAAAGACGATGCTTTAGCTTGAAAAATTATACATTTTTAAATTCACCTATCGTCATGGAAAATGTGCAGGTAGCATGGGAATTTTTTTCCCCAGTTAAAAAGCAAGGCTAGTGGTAGCACTGAGCATCTTTGGATTGAAATGCAAACATACAGGTTGCTTTTTGGGGGGTTTTCATTCTTGGGATCAACTTGGGGGAGGTTTTAAATGTAAAAAAAAAAAAGATGTGTAGTGATACAAGTAGAACCATTAATTTAAACACCTGTGACAAAAGAAAAGGGATAAAAACTCCCATTGTCATGCTTTCTACTTTTAATTTGAGTGCTTTTTACTTTTTGGGTGTTTAATTAATTTATATTCTCTTTGTAGAACACACCCATGACTAGATAAATGAAAAAGATGCCTACCGGAATCTGTATTTGATTTAAATGAATTCTCCTTTTGTGGTGTGTCATGGATGGTTCCATAGAGCAGGAATGGTAATGTGGTGTTTTGTTCTGGATTTTAATCAAAGTTTTAAAGTATAAGGTTGCACGCCCTTGCCTTATTTCACATTGCATTCAGCACAATGATTCCTTGTAAAGTCATCAAAGATTAAAATCACATTGTGGTTTCTCCCATAATTTTATCAGAGTATATGAACTTGAAAAGCTGAATCAATTATCTTGTATTTGTCGTTAATTAAATAGTTACTTACTTGCTATGGGATAGGATAAGAAATGCTTTGGTAAGTATTTCGAACTTGCACTTTCATATTCTGGACATTCAAAAAAGCTTTAAAATCATTTATCAGGGCAGTTGCGTAGGCCACAAATTTGATTTTGAAGGCATATTACTGAAAGTTCGAAGTAAATCAATTTATAGCTGTTCTTGTTTTTAGATCCTATCAAAATCCTACATCATGGCCCTATCACTGAACAGTAAATGATGTTAAAGTGAGTGATCAAACATTATCAACGTTTTTCCGTATTATTCCATCGTATGAATTGTAGTGGTATATATAAAGATACCTTTGAGTACAACTGTGATGTCATAAATGGAATAGCGTTTGATCTAAAGCAAAAGGCTAAGAGGTTTTAAATGAGTGCCAGTTTCATTTGAACAATCATGTTATTCTTCCATTGTGTTGCTTTTCTCTTTGTTGCCAGTTGAGTTGATCTAATACTTTGAGGAGTGCCTTTAAAATTAATCAATAGGCCTATGAAAAATTTGTTGCAAAAATTTTTATTTTATTTTCATTTCAGGGTAAAATTTTTATGTATGACAAAGTGCTAAAACCAACTGTCACTCAGGAGTATGTGTACAATGTAACAGCAAAGCCCATCGTAGCTGGTAAGTTAATTTTCATATGTTGTAATTTTTGTTGTAGTTTCCATTACTTATAATTTTTTATCTTATGATTGAGTCGAGAAAGGTCTGTAGCTTTGAAAGGTGTAGTTTGCAGTTGCCTAAAGATGGTCTGCTCAGAGTGTTTTTTTTTTTTATTTGTGAAAAAATATTTTGTAGCTTGTCATCCACTGGTAACAAATATGTCATGACATGGTGTTTTCAGGCCCTCATTAATTTTGCTCATTTCGAGTTATTGGGACCATCTTAAAGCTTTTTTTTTTTTCTTCCTTTTGCTAAAAGAATACCCATCTCATGAATTATAGACAAGATGTTTACGGTTGAAGAAAAGGGGTCGCTTGGTGTCAGTGGTAAAACTAGTGGTCACCAAAGTTCCCTGCTTGAATGTCCTTGGAAATGAGCTTCACATTTTTCTTTTTTGTGCCTTTGATCAACATTTTTCAGTTAAATCCACTCAAAAATTGTGTATTTCGATGGATAAGGTATTGAGGCCCCCCCCCCCCTCCAAGAAAATGTTGGTAACTTCGATTTCATCATTTTGATGAGAGCCTGGTTTCATCACGATGCCACAAGCTTCTACATGGGGGTCTGAAAATAAGATGATTTGCACCAGTGTACATTAATTTTGCATATTTTGCCTTAATCGCCAAGCTTATTCCTTTTTGAAAAAGTTCTCTCCCCGTAAGTCTTTTGACTTTTTAAAATATTCTTTTTATTACCAATTATTAGATTTTACTTCGCCCATTGGTAGTTCTCTTTGCATAATCTGCCTTCAAATCGGTCACTATTTTCTTGCATGTAAATGCAGTAGTACTAATTTACAGTAGCAAGGGTTTGACATTTTATGGGGTTCTGATGTGTACCGTCTGTTGGAGAATTACTTACCTTTATTAATTTAAGGACTCTCTCTTCCCTTATTTTAAATTTTTTTTTTTATTGTTAACGGTTACATGAGAGGGTTGTTAATAAAGCACTCCTTTTCTGGCACATTTTTCTGTAGGTCTCATATTGCAAGTCTCCCAAAATAATTGCTCAAGGAGGCCTCTGAAAGTTTCTTTTGTCCTCATTTTAGGGGTTTTGTCTTCTCTTCCACCCGTTCAACAATGGCTTTCTCTACCTGCTCTCCCTGTTGGCTTACTTTACTTTACTTTTTCCTTCCTCTTGTATCATTAAATGTCGAGAGGAGGTGCAATTTTCAATCAAGGGCCAGGTGGGTGGCTTCTGTTGTTGATATGAAATTCTTTTGGAGTACTTCTTTAACGCCATCCAGCCAAGTTTTGCATGGTCTACCACTGCCATTATATATCCTGACTCATTTGGATTGTAAGCTTGTGCTGCTGGTTGATTTGGAGATATTCTTATTCTCATCAGATGACTGAACCACTTGATTCTTTGATGTTCTATGTGTTCCTTAATGGGTTAAATTTCGGACAGATTTGTTCCTTATGCAGTCTTTCTTAGTAACGGTAATTACTTTTCTGAGGAATTTCATCTCATTGGTAATGATCTTCCTTTTATGTACTGAGCGTTTAAGATCTTTTCTTTTATTCTTTGCTCTTCACTACCTTTAAATAGATATCCCCCCCCCCCCCTTCTTATTTGTTGTGTACAGCATCAGTTGATTTTCTGAACTATTCTAAAATTAAATATCCACCTGATTTCGGAGTTTATAATCCAACCTTTCAAATCAAATTTTTATATACGGAACAAAGAAGTACTTTTGTTTCCCAACTGTTGCGTGCTGGCTTCAATATGCGACTCTCATGTCCCTATTCTTGAAATGTTTTGAGAGAACTGAAACTGAACAAAATTATGTTTCTCGGCTGAGGCTGGTGCTCTTGGTAACAACAGTCACTTTCAGTACAGTTGTTAATTGAGTTTATGCTGAGACATAAACTGAATGTTCTTATGATAAACATAAATATTTTTTCATTTAACATTATGTGTGGGTGGTTGGTGGGTGGTCTGGTGTGGTTTGCTCCTTTCCTACCAAACATCTATTGTCCTGATCTCTCCTCCTTTTTGTAGTTGTTGCTCTCTTGTAACACCTCTAATCTTTGGCACTTATATGACCTTATTGTGTTGCAAGTGCTGTAAAACTCTTACTAAAACTAAAAACTAGCAGTATGAAGTAAATAATCTTTTGGTAAAGATGGGAATGGAAAGTATTGAGGGTATGCAGGGTAAAATGTATGGATTCTTTCCACTGATTGAGAAACGTGGGTGGCATAGTAGAAGGCTAGCTTTGAAAAACAAATTTGATATATGTCTGTGAGGGCGTTGTGAATTCTACATTTGTATGGGGATGGTGTTCATTAGGAACATCCATAGATAAGTTAATACTCTATTATCGCCAGTAATCTTCTGTCTTGTGAAATTTCCACATTTTGTTAATTATTGTCATTTTTTAGTATTGTGTGTGTTTGTAAAGTGCTCAGCAGATTGAGTGTTATCAGTCGTTGTGTCTCTGTACAGTACTTAAGCTTTGAGACTGGAGTTAATAATCATGGAAGTGGCTGTTGTATGATAAATGATTATGGCACAAGGAAGCAAGAGCTTTTCCTTTGCTTGACAAACATGGTTGGAAAGGGGCGATCCATTGTGTTGTGAAAAGAAGATATAATACAGAGTTACTGAAGATGTGGAAAATAACTTATAATTAGAGTAGCTTCAAAGTTGAATGTTGAACGGTAGGTGTTTTGTAAAAAAAGTTTCTATCTTGGGAAGTTCTCCTGATCATCTTATACTGAAAAAAAACCCACCAAAAAAAACCCCCATCATGTATTAAAATAGTGGCTGGGTTATTCTCTTCCAGTAGTGAAAATGAGGCTGTTGTGCTTGACCTCGAAATTTTTTTGGTTCACTGTTTAAGTGTTACTAATGAGATGTTTTAAGTCTCTCACTGCCAGTATAATATGTGGGGAGGCATGTGACTTGGTGCTTGATGTGACGATGAACTTTGCTTTAACTTTGAGATAGGTGGGGTTTTCTGACCTTAATGGAGGTTTGGGGAAGAAGAGGAAGAATAGAGACCTTATGTTCCTGCTCTTTGTATTCTTTTGTTTATCTATACAAATTGAGGAAAAGCTGTGGGTGCCACAAAAAATTGAAGAAATTCAAAGGACTGTGTCGACCTGTTTGAAGTATTGACAGATGCTCTTAAATGTACTTTTTTTATTTTCAATGTTTGCCACTTCTCTTAATAGCGGCCTGCCTCATTCTTGCGTATCATTTTTCTTTTTACGACCTATGTAAAATGACACTATGTGATTATATATGCAGCTCTTTTATTTTGCACAATAATTTCTGTTATGGGGTACAGGGAAGGGCCGCCAGTCCTTATCCACACCCGTTTTATAGTGAGACAATTTGCTATTTGCAGATCTATATAGCCAAAGGGATTTTTGTACTCTTTGCGACCATCCCGCCCTATGGTCTCTCATGTGTGAAAGAAACGACAACGTTGTGGGCGGGGCTTTGTAAAAGCGTACGCAGCCGTGACAGCTTGGCATTCCATAGCCTAGAAGCTATCGCGCTGTTCATGGAGAGGATGAAAAGGGGATGACAACTGAACGTAGATAATGAAGTTGCGCCGCGGGCCCCCCCCCCCCCCCCCCCGTATATATCGGTCTATTTTGCTTTTTGTCTTTTTTTGTCTTCTTAGTTTAAATTGAAAAGACAAAGTGAACTGAATGCAATTTATTTACCTGAAGTTCGTCACTAAAATTGTACATCTCCACTAGCAAGACTAGGTATAAGGTATCGTGACATTTCATTGCTTCTCTTTGGCTCTGTATCACTGCATTGTTATTATTGCAGTTTGGGTTTCAAACAATGATTTCATCAGAATAGGGTGGAGAAGGGGGGGGGGGTTCTCGCCATACGCTGAGTTTAATAAAATCTCTGTCCTGATCTTAAATTCTTGCTTTTATGGGTTCCAAACTGATTAAGGTTGTTCGCCGTCTTATACTTTCTGGGTGGCGAGATTTACTTAGTAGATCTGAAACGACACCCTACGGAAAAGATATAAAAATACCGTGCGTTGGGATTGCCCTGACGTGTCGAACAACCTGTTTCCAATGGAGATCTGTATCATGTCATCTGCTTGCGTCTTTTTCTTCTGTCGGCGCCTGGCGCCCTTTGTCGGTGTACTTTTACGTCAGAGACCACGAGATCACCGAGTGCCTCTAGCTGCACATGCTCTCGACATTGACAGTCGCATTTTTGTTCTGGCTGGGTAACACCCCTCCCCCCCCCGCCCCCTCTTTTCAAATATTTTAAGCCCTTAGCGAGGAAAGCTTGCAATGTTTGCCTTGTGCGGGAAATGGTACACTATCGAGCGTAAAGATTAGATTGCCATGCCCAGCCGCGGCGATTTAATACTGTTAAGTGATGCTGAAGGGAATGAAACGGTGAATGAGGGAAAAGGATTAAGCCGTGGATTGGTCTTATGGTATTGAGTATAGGATGTGGAGAATCGATAAAATTTACTCAGAACCTCACCGATCCTAACCTTTTTTTGTCTGTTTTGAACCTTAGTATGAAAGCAGTGGTGATATCTGGTGGGTTGAATTTATTAATATTTTTAAAAATCGTAACTGATGACACGATAGGAGAGCGTTATAGTAGTTACACTCTATGGCGTTGGTTGTTTTGCGAAGACAGTATTATTACATTTTTGACATTATTTTTTATTATCACTGCGCGTGAGCGCCGTAGAGCCTACTACGTAAATAGTATATACGAAATACGGCCCATATACATGCACTTTATTTCGCATCACATTGTATTTATGTCTAGTGTCTACAACATTTCTCTTGTCTCGGCAATAGAGTCTCCCCAATAATATTTTAATGTTCTAGCAACGTTCAGCTTATGAATATGAACCGAAAAGCGGACTACTCTTTCGTCAACACACAAGGCAAACAGGAAAAGCAAACTACACAGAGCATCTCTGCGTTATACTGTGATTCCGAATCGATGTT